ACGAGTTTACTATCTTGAGGCCACGATTTACTATCTTGAGGCCACGAGTTAACTATCTTGAGGCCACGAGTTACTATCTTGAGGCCACGAGTGAACTATCTTGAGGCCACGAGTTACTATCTTGAGGCCACGAGTTACTATCTTGAGGCCACAAGTTACTATCCTGAGGCCATGAGTTACTACCCTGAGGTCACGAGTTAACTATCTTGAGGCCACGATTTACTATCTTGAGGCCATGAGTTACCATCCTGAGGTCACGAGTTAACTATCTTGAGGCCACGAGTTACTATCTTGAGGCCACAAGTTACTATCTTGAGGCCATGAGTTACTACCCTGAGGTCACGAGTTTACTATCTTGAGGCCACGATTTACTATCTTGAGGCCACGAGTTAACTATCTTGAGGCCACGAGTTACTATCTTGAGGCCACGAGTTAACTATCTTGAGGCCACGAGTTACTATCTTGAGGCCACGAGTTACTATCTTGAGGTCACGAGTTACTATCTTGAGGCCACGAGTTCACTATCTTGAGGCCACGAGTTACTATCTTGAGGCCACGAGTTCACTATCTTGAGGCCACGAGTTACTATCTTGAGGCCATGAGTTACTACCCTGAGGTCACGAGTTAACTATCTTGAGGCCACGATTTACTATCTTGAGGCCATGAGTTACCATCCTGAGGTCACGAGTTAACTATCTTGAGGCCACGAGTTACTATCTTGAGGCCACAAGTTACTATCTTGAGGCCATGAGTTACTACCCTGAGGTCACGAGTTTACTATCTTGAGGCCACGATTTACTATCTTGAGGCCACGAGTTAACTATCTTGAGGCCACGAGTTACTATCTTGAGGCCACGAGTTAACTATCTTGAGGCCACGAGTTACTATCTTGAGGCCACGAGTTACTATCTTGAGGTCACGAGTTACTATCTTGAGGCCACGAGTTCACTATCTTGAGGCCACGAGTTACTATCTTGAGGCCACGAGTTCACTATCTTGAGGCCACGAGTTACTATCTTGAGGCCACGAGTTCACTATCTTGAGGTCACGAGTTACTATCTTGAGGCCACGAGTTCACTATCTTGAGGCCACGAGTTACTATCTTGAGGCCACGAGTTACTATCTTGAGGTCACGAGTTCACTATCTTGAGGCCACGAGTTCACTATCTTGAGGCCACGAGTTACTATCTTGAGGCCACGAGTTCACTATCTTGAGGCCACGAGTTACTATCTTGAGGCCACGAGTTACTATCTTGAGGCCACGAGTTCACTATCTTGAGGCCACGAGATGGTTATATCACGAGTTACTATCTTGAGGCCACGAGTTAACTATCTTGAGGCCACGAGAAAAACAAAAGAACAGCATATTTTTAAGAACAGCATATTTTTTAAATAGATTTTTTTGTAACTGTAAAAGTCTTTACTATCACTTTTGATCAATTTAATGCGTCCTTGCTGAATAATAGTATTAGTTTCTTTGACCCTAACTTTTGGATTGAGACACAGCAGAATAAATCACAGAAAATGTACTAGACCAATTACTAAAATGGAAGCAATTGAATCTCTACTGACATTTAAAAGCAGTTTCATGCTTATTGAAATGATTGAATTTCACATGGCACAAAACCAATTCCTTAATTTTTGATTGATTTGATTTGTTGTTCCAGCTGAGTAAAAAGTTTCTCCGTACATTGTCCATTAAAAACATTTTAAATTAACCAACCCATATATTTCAGAACTAATAATTGGCCCTAAGACTTTTTTCAGTTCCTAAGACAGTTTCAGTAAGTACTGAGACAACATTTTCCCTAATACGGTGCTGAAAAATGTTCTTTCTTCATGGGTTCACAGCTGCCTTTTTTAATTTTAATATCACCCAAAAAGTGATTTTTACAGAAGATTTCATTATAACTAAATCCCCAAGCGCCAGTAACTGGCACACGCCCTTCTCTTTTTCTATTTTTTACTTACAGTCAGTTTATTAAACTAAATCCCAGTGCTGAACAGGTGCAACTCAATAACTGACATCAGGTTGGCGATAAAAATGAGATGCTATTCAGTGCTGTTGATCAGTTTTCCTGCCTTCTGAGTTTCCATTTGCTATTTATTCAGTGCGAGACTGCATTGTTTTACCTTCGCCGAATCGATAACAGCTGGTATAAGGACCAAATAATCCAAATTCGTGTCTCCTTCTACCCTTGAACCTATACTAACGTTGCGTTTGTGAGCCTCCCTCAAAGGCACCATCATAGTTTTCAATCAATTAAAGCTGTAGATCAAACACTAAGCAGGGTCTGGCATCGCTTGACTGTGTTTCTTTTGGGATTGGGTTCAGATAACAGTGTGAATGAAAACCAGCTAACTGGGGGGGTTGGGCACGGGAATATTTTACCCAGGCTGTTCCATATGACTGCCACACCGACAGACTCTCACAAACTATCCGGGGAAATAAAATCTGGCTTCACCATAACACAGACTCCAGCAGAAGTATGAACCGACATACGATATTTGGGCCCTTGCATACAAAAACAAACCATGTAATGGTCTTCATGACTTCCATGTGCATATTTGAAACTCTAGTCCCCTGGACAAGGGGGAGGGCTTCTTCAATTTGCCAGTAATTGTTTATGTGCAAATTGTTTACAGAGTTGTTTCCCATAAAGACCGACTGATATCCATTCTGAGCCTGCCAGTTGTCTTTGAAAGAACACACATCTGGTTAAAACTTCAGAAAAGCACCGAAATCTGATCTTCTTTCAAAGGTAGAGGGCATGGAGAAAGGTCCCCGCTGCCCGCTCTGATTCCTGTCAGTTTCCCCTTTGCACGTAATACCTGTATGGAGTCATTAGATGCTAATTTACACTTGAGTAAATATTACTAGGTCAGTGCGTTCCCTTGGGCCAACAGTTTGCATTAATGAATTATATGTCACCCACTTGGCTGTGTGGCCACATCTCGTTCCATTAAGCCCGATATTAATCCACAGAATGGCTACAGCCCAAATTGAAGCCCTTGTCTGCGGTGCCAGAGGCCGATTCAAAGGCGGTGCCAGGGCTCAGAGACAAGAACAATAAATAAAGCCTTGTAAGTGCGTCGTAAAAATCACTTATCCTCATTTTGCGGTGGGCCAAGTTATGCTAGAGGGCAATCAACTAACATTTGGTCAGCAGGAAATTGCTCAAATCTGTATGTAATATTCAGAGTAAAGCATGAATTCCTCCCACATGTTGCTTTCTGTCCCTTCTGATTCAATCTGTTGAGAATTAAAAGAGCACATAGAGAAAATCATAAATTACATATTTTTTATATCTTAATAGGTTCTCCTAGATGGCAAACCGATTCATTGTAAAGCAATTTCAGAAAACCATTGTCAATCATTGCACTTATTACACAAGTTAGGGGAGAGTGGGGTAAGATGAGCCAGGTGGTAATGTATCTTGGCAACCGTACACATTTATTGTCATGTGAACATATATTTTGGAACCACCCATCATTTCTGCCAGGCTGTGAAAAGGAGAAGCACATGGGAGGAGTGGAAGGCATCCATTTACTTTAAAAACTGTGTTTGGCTTGTCAAAGACATTTTTTAGCATAACAGATGTAATGGCTGTTACATTAAAGCAAATTTGTCCAGGTCTAAAAATATGTTTGATGCACATTGGTGATTTAGCGACGTATAAAACCATTCAAATCGTTTAGCTAAACATTAGCCTGAAATTGGTAAGCTAGCTATTTTTTTTTTTTAAATGGCAGCTATATAGGACAAAGTGAGCCAGCATTGAAGTTAAGTTAAATCTCTGAAGTATAAACTTCATATTTTTTTTTTCAAGTTTATTTGACAGGAACAATGTACACAAAATCCTTCTCTTATACGAACAAGAAGATGCTTATATCTTTCCTCCTGTAGTCTCTAATGGCCTAACATGTTTGACATTTCAGAAAATCTACTAGGTCTAGAACCTTTTGACTAAACTGTTTATTAGTTTCATTGACATTTATTCATTCATTCATTCATTCATTCATTCATTCATTCATTCATTCATTCATTCATTCATTCTAATTCAGTTTTTATTTAATTTTACCCAACAAAGCTCTCCGTTTGCTTTTGGGAAGGTTACAACTTTGGTGTTCAACATATTGTTTCAGAAATGCAAAACAATTAAATATACTTCTACTTAATATGGTTTCTTTTATGCTTTTTAAGTTAAAAGAGATATGATTATTTGTAAAAGGAAATTTTATTATTAAATTCGTAAAAAAAAAAAAAGAGGTATATCATCTTTACAATTTCACATGGGTTTGATTTAATTCAGTTAGATGGTAAGTTTACACCCATATGGTGCAACTTACCCACTGACTCGGATCAACTTACCCCAAACCTGGGGTAAATTGTGCCACAGGAACACTTTTTTTAAAATAAGAAGTCATATATTCTGATCATTCAAAAGGATAGGAAACATCCTGAAATTAGTTTAGATACTTTCATTGTAACCTCATTTTCATTTATCTTTAGGATCACAGAAGTAAAAATTGGTTCATCTTACCCCACTCTCCCTATAAAGAAAAATGGGATACTCATCAAGTCTGATAAAATCTTGTGCAAGGTAGACATCTAGTGGTCTTCCGTCAGCGTGAGGTAAAATTAGGTAAATCAGAGGATTAAAACCACTCTCTGCTCATTTATATGGACTTTAAAAATATCTAAATGTTCATTATTTTTTAAAAGAAGTAGGCTATCGTAGATACCAAACGGAAGAAAAAATTGCTTCGCGCAAAACACAACTAGATTTCAGATAGGAAACTGAATTACATAACCTGGGCTATGGTTCTGGATCAAATGTAGTCTCCTTATAAAGAAAACTGCAGCAGCAGCATCGTGCTTCACTACAGTCACAATACTTCTAACGTGGAAGTGACATGTCTTCACTAAAAGGGTTTTAGGGAAACTGCCCTTCAACTCCCGCAGAACAAACGGCACATTCATGAGCAGCAGTCAGTCAGTCAGTCAGTCAGCAGTATAATATCTCTGGAGATTTCACTCCTTTTCCTCTCTGAATGTTTCATTTGTTCAAACGCGCCTCATACGATGAGGATTATAATCTGGAGCATCGCGAGCGCTTTCCTGTTCAGCGTCATTTTTACGCAACGACATCGAAGGTATGTGGAATATATAACTAAATCCATATCTAGATGCCTATATATGGTCAAAAAAGCATTTAGCTCGAATTGATGAAGAACACGCTGAATTCTGTTTGCTGTTTGGTTGGTGACATAGCTATTAGTTCCCGTGTTATATTATACAAACTTGACTAATTTATACTAATTAAGGAACAAATCATTGTATATTAAGCATGCTGTTGTTCATTAATTTTACTTAGTAGCTACTAATAAAGCACATGATTTTGAATTCCTTGTGAGTTTCAAATTTAACTATGTGCTTTCCCATTTGTCCTCATTGTAGACCAGTTTTTACATGTGGCGGGAACCTCACTGGAGACACAGGACTGATTGGGAGTCAGGGGTATCCTGGTGTCTACCCACCCAACAACAAATGTGTGTGGAGAATTACAGTAAGGAAAGATGCGTGGGAGATATCAGTCTTTAAATGTCTTTTCTGTCAAAGAAAATATTTCCCATGCACCATAAATCTCTCACAAAGTGTTGTCTGGTCTGGGTGGTTGCATACTGTCCCGAGCCAATGATATTTTGGTCCATATTCTGATCCTTCATTGTAATTCTGTAGAATTCCTCCCTGTTTTATAGTTTACCAGGCAAAAATATAATTCTTTTTGCTTAGAAAAGTAACAACACACACTTCACTGGCAGCACACTTCAACAAGCCACACTATTTGAAGTATGATTCATGTCTATAGCACAAATGTGTTACTCACGAGCACCTCGACTGAATTATGAATGTCTTTTTGAAAATCAGCTGCGACCTAATTGCATTTTTTGGAGAGTAATCTAAGGAGTTAAATGTTTTGATTGTGGAAAGATATTCATGCTAAAGAAATGTATTCTTTTATTTCCCAAAAGCACTGATAACCAACTACTTTCGCAAGTTTCATCGTTAATAGTGTTTTCCGAAACCACAGTTCCAATGAACATTTGGAAACAGCATTGCAAATTTGTGTGGCAGCCATCTTTTCCCCAGATTAAATGGCACACGCGTACACACTTGGGTGTCCAACACCATGTCGCTGGTTTGTGGTTTGCCCCTTCTTGCACCACTGTTGGTAAATTCTCACCACTGCTGACCAGAAGAAACCCACTCAAGTTCCCTTTCCATAACAATTTGGCCCTTGTCAAAGTCGCTCAGATCTTTATTCCTGCCATTTCTCCTGCATCCAACCCGTTGATTACGAGAACCGATTGTTTGCTTACAATCTAATCTACCCAGACCTTAATATGTGGCCTCGTTAGGAGATGATCAACAATATTCGCTTCACCTGACTGGCCATAATATATTGGCTCATCAGTGCTCATCATTCCATTTCAGGGTACGTTTACACGACAACGATATGCTTAAATCGACACCGTTGTCACACGGAAACCTGAAAAGGACTTAAAACGCTGTATCCTGCGTCCCGGCCATCCGATGGTGATGAAACGCATGTGCATGACGTCATCATCTTCAGAGAATCGCATTTTTGTTGTTTACATGAAGACCGTTTTCAAAAGTTTGCGTTTTCAGGCCCCCAAAACGCCGTTGTCGTGTAAATGAACGGCCAAAACGCATAAAAAGTTTTACGTTTTTAGTTGAAAACAGTGTCGTGTGAACAGCCCCTAAATATACATTTCATTCTAGATCAAAAATAGCGCAATAGTCCTCAGATGCCATCTTCGTTACAGCAGCATTTTGGAGAAATGTAACCGCATATATAGCCTACGGAAGTACAGCAAATACATACTGCATGTAAACATGATCAAAAACTTGGCTTTCTGATGTTTCGTCTTTAAATGAACTATAATAATCTGAGATTAATTGCGATTCTGAATTGATTAATTAGCAGACGTTATTACACCACATATTACATTAATGACAGTCCTATATTGTTAAACCAATGTTGTTGAAATGACAGAGGTGCGACCATGTTACTTCTATTTCGAGAAACAGCGCAACTAGCTAGTTAATTTCTCGTTGCGTCGTACTATGGTAGTAAGGCAACGAGTTACGCTATTGTATGGGGAATTTACTCCTAATCTCGTGAGAAAATGTAACAATTTGACATTTTGTGGAATTGGTGGCAAATTTTATTCATATTGAAAACATGTTTCTTTTTTTAAGCAAGCACCCTTAACCCAAACCCTAAACGTAACATTAAGCAAATTGAATGAATGACATTCTCCACCAATTTGCCAAAATGTAAAGTAGTTACAAATAGCCATGGGACTGTGTTGACTCTTCTCAATTAACCGTCTACAGGTCCCTCAGGGGAGGGTCGTCTCCCTCTTGTTCCGGGTTCTGGATCTTGAGAGTGATAGTCTTTGCAGATATGACTTTGTTGATGTTTACAATGGCCACATCAACGGGCAGCGTCTCGGCCGCTTCTGTGGCACTGCCAAACCCGGAGCGCTGGTCACCAGTGGAAACAAGATGCAAGTGGTCATGGTGTCAGACGCCAACACAGCTGGGAGTGGTTTCCTTGCTGTATACTCAGCGATTCGCCCAAATGAAAGAGGTAACGAGACTACCAACTTATTACCATCCAAATATAGTAAGTGGCCCTTCCCTGTTATTTCAATTCAGCTCGGTGTTTTGTTTTGCTCATCAGGTTTTTTTCTGTAAATGCACAGTCAAATTTCCAGAAATTATTTCAAAATGCAGCACTAGACCTCAGTATTTTCAAATAAATCTGCATTGATTCCATGTCATCAGACTAATATGCAACGATTGTCCATGGCAGGTGACCGGTATTGCGGGGGTCTTTTAGACAAGCCCTCTGGGACGATAAAGACTCCTAACTGGCCAGATAAAGACTACCCAGCAGGAGTAACATGTGCCTGGCATATTGTTGCTCCTCAAGACCAGGTGTTAATTTATTATTTCTATCAATTCCAGATCATGTGTCACAAGTCATGCATCATTGACAGCACATTGACAGGATGAGTATGACTATATATCTTTTTAAATTGCAAAGTAACTTCCCCCCTCTCAGATCATTGAGCTGAAGTTTGAGAAGTTTGATGTGGAGAGGGACAGCTCCTGCCGCTATGACCATGTGGCTGCGTTTAATGGTGGAGAAATGAATGAGTCACGGAAGATCGGCAAGTTCTGCGGAGACAGCCCACCCATGTGAGACCCTCAGTCCATCACACATGCACCAACACACCATTTACCACTCGTTCACTAAGCAGAGAAACCACCACAGACACTGACCTCAAATTTTTAGACTGGTTGATGCTACATTATTGCATGTTGTCCTGCCCATTCCCATATTTTCATGGCAAAGTTCTTTTTTATTCTTCACTTAGGGGTAAAAAGAAGTTCAAAATACTTTTTCAGCGGTATACTGATAGAGAATATCCTGACACCGCTCACACTGCTGTGTGTAAATATATATATATATATTAGGGGTGTAACGGTTCACAAAATTCACGGTTCGGTTCGATACGATACACTTGTGTCACGGTTCGGTTCGGTACGATTCGGTACGTTTCCGATACAGCAAAAAGAAAGAAATGCCAGAGAAATTTCCTTGATTTAATCTTTTTAATTATATTTTTATTAAAACTAACATCATAAAGTATGATATTTTTTAACTTTGAGCAATGATGGAGCTATACTTGACTTTTCTTAGGAGCTTATAAAACAAAACAGCTCCTTGGACAAAATTAAATGTAATATTGTAGTAGTTATAAACAAAGGTTTATTTCAGTTCAGATTAACATTTGAGGGCAGCAATTGTATTCATAATGTCAAAATAAAACCGACGTGATGTTACTTGAAAGCATTATAGCCTACTATTCCTGCCAAACTTCCATGGTTACAGTTAGTAGTGTTACTACAGTAAACCCATGGTGAATGTTGCTGATCTGTGGACACTGGATAGTTCATTCATGGCACAATGTTTCTTCCTGGTTTCCACGTCAGCGCTGTTTGATCCGTTAATAACGGAGAAATGCGAATGTTTCTCACTAGATCTTGCAGCGATGTTATTACTTCAGTGGCGAATTCAAATGCTTTCTTTACTGGATTTGGCTGTGTAGTAACAGTGCTGATGATTAAGATCGGCTCGCGCTGTATTTGTCCAAACTGATAAACGGTCCTTCAACCACACAATAACGAGTGGTTTCGTTCCGCTTACATTACATTTGCCATTTGATGTTGGGCAATGTTGTGGTCACGCACATTATGAGCGCGCTTGCCACACGTGACGCCCCTTCATTTGAAATAACGAAATTTTGGTCGGCAGGAAAAATGGTCCAACGAACCGTTCGGTTCAAAAATGCGTACCGAAAACCGAAGCGAAAGCCTCGTACCGAACGGTTCAATACGAATACGTGTATCGTTACACCCCTAATATATATATATATATATTAGTGCTGTCAAACGATTAAAATATTTAATCGCGATTAATCGCATTAATGTCATAGTTAACTCGCGATTAATCGCACATTTTTATCTATTCTAAATGTCTCTTGATTTCTTTTTGTCCCATTATTTTTTCTCATTTTAATGCTCTTATCAACATGGAAAAGTGGATCGGCTTGCTTTGTGCAAATGTTTTTTATTGAAAACAACATTGACATAAACTGTGTTCAAATTCACACTAACATTCTCACTTGGAGCAAATAATCTCTCACACAATGTAACACTGTCCATCAATAAAAGGGTGAAAGAAATGCTGAGAGGTCCTGATATTGACGAGGGGGCGGAGAATTCACATCAGCTGTGTGTGTGTGTGTGTGTGTGTGTGTGTGCTTGGCCATCATCAAGTGGTATTTCAGACTGGACGTGCTGCGATGATGATAGCTCAGTTCACAACGACAAAACACACAGATCACTTTGGTCTTGTCAATGGAACCATTTGGCAACTTTTTAAAAGTAAACTTTCCATTCAGATTCTTATTGGCATCCATTTCGGCGTCTCGCGCTCGTCATCCACTCAAAATGTAACGTTAACCTACTATTTGGACGGCTCGCAAGCCCAAACGAGTGTGTGCTGCGTGCCTGTTGTTTTGTTTCCGGTCTAGCTAGATCCGCTTGCGCTTTGGTCGACGAAGCAACAAAACGTTCTCGCGCGTGCCGCGTCCTGTTGCAAAAGCATGTGAAAAAAAACTACAAAGTTTGCTAGGCCAAAAAGACCGTTAATCCAGCCCATTCTCATCCCTAGGCGTCATGAAACTGACGCCTTGGGAATCATTTTGACCATGCTTCAATATTCGACGCTTTAGGCACCCTTTAGCGTCAGTTACATGACGCGATCCTAGGGCGTCATCTCACTGACGCTTTACCTTTAACGTCAGTTAGATGACGCTATCTAATCCTAACCCTACCCCAGACCTAAACCTACCCGCGTCATCTAACTGACGCTTAGGTAAAGCGTCAGTAAGATGACGCCCTAGGATCGCGTCATGTAACTGACGCTAAAGGGTGCCTAAAGCGCCGAATATTGAAGCATGGTCAAAATTGTCATTTTAGTGACGCCTTGGGGTGAGAATGCGTTGGTTAATCTTGCGCTAAAAAATTTAACGCCGTTAAAATGGGTTTGCGTTAACGCCGTTTATAATGCGTTTAACTGACAGCCGTAATATATATATATATATATATATATATATATATATATATATGAGCCATTCCACCGAAAGGGTGACATTTCTGTCCCCAGGACATTATATGTATAAAATTGCATGAAAATTAACTCTAAAATACATTTTATTATTAAGCAAAATGTCCTGCACATTAAGCTACCTACAAATTTAAAATGTATATTTAAAAACTTAGATAAAAACTACATAGAACACTAAAAAATTGCATTTTCTGCATGTCCCCACTCTCCATCTCTAAACTTTACAATGAAATATAATGATTCAAATCCTTCAGAAATCTGAATTTTTTTTTATTGTTGTGTGACTTTATATCCAATCTGCTTTAAAATGAAAAAAGAAAAAGACATTTTATCTAATATTTGAGATAAAATACACATTTTAGTCATGTCCCCGGGTTTTCACTCAGTCCTGTTACCCTAACACATTACCCCCTCTGAAAAACTGGGAATAATCCACAAGACCATTTTCAACAGTAAGTTGCATCATCTGGATCTTCTGAAGGCAATGGGAAGACCATAAGTTAGTCTTCTCATTTTAATTTCTGTATATGTGATGAAATTGTAACTACGACTGAGAAGGTCAATCTCAACATACTGTCCTGTTACCTAAACTTTTTCTTAGATTTTATTTGTTTATTTTAAAAATATTAACTTTTGGAAAGGCACTAGAAATGGCTCAGTGTCCTCATGCTATTAGCATGTACTATGTGGCCATATGCCATGTATTTGATAACTTTTTGCTTGAAAACTCAATCCTGTTACTTTCAGTCCTGTTACTATTTTTTTAATTTTTCAAAAAAAATTAAATTAAATCACTGTTTTTATCAGTTTTGTTTGGCCCATCATTTATACAATTATTTAATCAATTAAATTGTTTAAAAAATATATAAACTTGAGGCTTTGGTCTTCTTTAAAATGAAAAAAATGGCTTTGTGTTTTTTATTAAAATACACCTTGCCTTAATAGTGATTTTATTGTCACAAATATACATTTTTGGAACAAATAACCAACAATTTCTTTAAAATAAACACTTTCTTGTGGGGAAAACAAAGGAATTAATTGACATGCTTTTAAACTTGCTTTTTAAATGGCACATGGTTTTCGGTAACATGATTGAGAAAACATGCGCCCATCTTCTGCTTAAACCTTGTAAAAAAGTAAATAAAGTTGCCTGAGATTGACCAATACACATTTTGAATAGTTAAATATGTGTAGTATTAGATTCAATGTTGAAAAAGATAAAAAATAAAGTTTAATTTTGAAGAAATACAACAAGCAAATGTCACCCATTCGGTGGAATGGCCCATATATATATATATATATGTTTTATAACTAAATAAACGCACAACAAAAATGACAGTGGTGAGAAAGCAGCTGCAGTTCAGAAGCATCTGGTCATGCGATGCGGATATGTTTGCACCAGCTCTGCAATTCAGCACTCCATTCAAGTCACGTCACGTCACGTTTAATTTATACAGCACTTTATACAATATATTGCTTTAACGCAAACAGCTTTACAGTATTAAACATGGAAAACAGTGTCACTTTCAATTAGAATTACACCAATGGTAGTCTGACGATGTTTACCAGCCGGAGCTAACTTTCTTTGGAACCAAACTCCACATGAACTTCATTTTAGAACGGATTGTGTTCGAAATGACGGCACACCAGTTTATCCTTCGATTTCGCTTGAAGTATATTGGGGCCTTAATTCTAAAAATCTTTTATACATAGACTCTAATAGGGCAGTATCACGGTATTGTCAGGTTTGGGTGCAGGTTGCCGAAGACGAGGACACGGGAACTGAAGTATAGTTGATTTATTTACTAAGAACACACAACCATAGATTGACGACGACCAACAAACACTGAGGAATACCACTGGGCTTAAATGATCAGGGACTAATGGGATAATTAACAGACCAGGAAACACTAACAGGACTAAACCAAAATCACAAAGACAGGGGGGGAAGCAAGATCACAAAACTGAACTAAACACACTGAAAACGTGACAGGTATACAAGTGATATAACATTATGTCTTGAGTGAACGTAAACAGTTGGTTGATAAATGTCTTAGGCCACAACAACTATATTGTGATATATCGTTATCGTGAAATAAAGTTTCTCTCACAGTTGGGAGTTTATATCACGCAATTCTGACTTTATAACTTGCAAATACAAGTTTATATTTCGCAATTCTGAGAAAAAAGTCAGAATTGTGAGAGAAAAATCGCAATTATCTTTTAAATTGTTTCATCACGTGGCGGAAACAACCTTCCAAAGGACAAATTTTATTGATCAGAAATTGTATTGAAAAGACAGAATTGCAAGATATAAAACCGCAATTGCAAGTTATAAAGTCAGAATTGCGTGATATAAACTATATAAAATATATCATTCAATTCTGAGTTTATATCACACAATTCTGAGAAAAACAGACATAAAACCTTTTTATTCTGTGGCGGAAACAAGCATCCATAGTGTCCACATGGTCAATAAATCTTTATTTTAGAGAGGTATTTCAAAAAAAAAGAAGGTAATTTCAAACATTTATTTATTTATTTTGTCTCGTAGGCCAATTTATTCGGATGGCAATCATCTCCTCATCATGTTTCTGTCTGACCTGAGTCTAACTGCGGATGGATTCATCGGCCATTACCGCTTTAAATGGAGGAGTCTCAGCACAGCCAGCGCCCCTCTCACCCCCATGAGCACCATCCCACCCACCACACGGCCCGCAGGTCAGTCCACAGCCCACTTTCCAGAAGGTTTCATTTCAAATGAAAAATGCAAGTAGCGGCACGGTGTAAAACTGCTGTATATTATAGGAATAAACGTGTGTAGGTAATGACATTGGAATGTATTAAAGATTTATTATGTTTGGTTCATATGGAACGCATTAGTTCGGTCACATGGGAAGACTAAACGTGCTTCTATTTTGTTACTAAAGTGCTTTAACAGAAATAAATGTATGTGACTTTTGCTGCTTTTTACACTGTATTTTAGTGTATAAGGACATGCTGTAGTTGAAAATCTTTTTTTTGCTCTCTTTTTCAAAAAGCCCTTACATATTCAGAAGGTCTTTGCAAGCAAAAATGCAAAAGGACTGGGACAATTGAAAGCCACTACTGCTCTAGTAACTTTGGTAAGTGGCCGTTGTTTGAAATGCTTTTGCTTTCTGCAAACCCAAATATTAGGAGGAATTCTGGGAATTTCTTTGAAATTCTGACTCCAGGCATCAGCGCTCTTTTTCACATTTTCAGGACTTTTACAAAAGCATTAAACAAATTAGTCTGATAAAAATATACGCTTTGTAGTGAGTACACTGTATACAAAAATGTACTAGTAGTATACTTGAATGTGACCTATAAACATTCAAATATGAATATGAAATATTTTAGTCAACATTTCAAGAGATGTAACACCTAAAAGTGATGTAAACCTATTTGAATTCACAGAAATAATTCACTGTTTTTTTTTTTTTTTTAAGTTAACTAAAGCTCTCATTCCCGTCTCTGTTTTAATAATGCTTATAGATGGAAAATGTGTTCAGGCCGATACTGAGACTCAGCTCTTTCTTTTTTTTTAAATAATTGCAGTGGCAGTAAAGCTGCTGAGCACAGTAAAAATGACAGCACGCATAACAGACCTATACATACTTTATACATTACCATGCACATGCGATTTTATGCATTTGTTCAAAGAAGAAACCCTGATTCTGTGAATTTAGTCTTTTTTTCCTCTCTCCACAGTGATTACCGCCACCCTTATCTCAGCAGCCATGAGGGACCACAGCGTCCTCGCCACCTTTTCCCTCATACACCTTTATAAGGAAGGAAGTTTAGCCATTCAACAGGCTGGGAAGACCATGAGCACAAAAGTCACGGTCCTCTGTAAAAAATGCCCTCTAGTCAGAAGAGGCGAGTATCTTTACACCGACCATGATCTACAAGAACCCTAACCTTAATCATTTTAATTTAAACCAGCACAGCCAGCGATAGCATCCAGCGAGTCCAGCAGATGTTTATAGTTGATTGAGGTGGATTTTGGAAGGTGATAGTTTGCAAATTTCGAGCCCCCCCCCCCGAGTCCTTCGGCTCCATTTGTGGTGTTGAGATATTTCAGGCAGGATATGCCATTTCGGCGTCACGGTGTGTAACTTAAGCTCGCTCAAGAGAGGGTCTCAGTTGGTTTCCTTGAATCATGGACAGCTAGAATAATAATTCTCTTCAACCCCATGGATGGTATGTGACTTTATTGGTGCCATGCTTTACCTCAGCTCACTTAGTGTCGAAATAGTAAGCCACTGCTCGGAAACTCTGAAAAGCAACTGTTTTGTTTTGAGGGGGAATTTCTAGAAAATGTGCCATGGAAGAATTTGCGTTAAAATATGCAGGAATTGTTTTTGGCAGTTCAGAGGAACAGTTTAACATTAATCATTTGCGGTGGAATTTTTATTGTTGAAATGAAAAGCAAGGGAATAAACAGAATATTATTTGCTTTGGCTCACGTTATATTAAAGCAAAGGCGGCTGTGTTCTTCAACAGTTAAATGAATAAATGAGTTCTAAACACCCTCCTGAACTTATTTTACGCCACAGGTTTGGGATGTGCATTTGCTAGTTCAAAATGTGGCCAATCCTCTGGTACTAATAAAAAAACATCACGTTAGAACTAGCAAAAATAAATTGCCCTTGTGAAAAGGAAGTTAGGCTAGCATAATTGTATTGAATGCACTTCATATCTTAAAGGGATACTCCACCCAAAAATGAAAATTCTGTCATCATTTACTCACCCTCAAGTTGTTGCAAACCTGTATGAGTTTCTTTCTTCTGCTGAACACAAAGGAAGATATTTTGAAGAACGATTGGAACCAAACAGTTGTTTGGCACCATTGACTTCCATAGTAGAAAAAAAAAAGGAAGGAAGTCAATGGTGCCAAAGTTCCAATCGTTCTTCAAAATATCTTCCTTTGTGTTCAGCAGAAGAAAGAAACGCATACAGGGTTGCAACAACTTGAGGGTGAGTAAATGATGACAGAATTTTCATTTTTGGGTGGAGTATCCCTTTAAAAGTATAATATCGTAAGAACTGTACTTGCAGATAATGTAATGCTAATGTACTAAAAGGCCAGTTAAGGGTACTAAAAGAGAGTTAACATTCATGGTTGTTTCTTAAAGGGATACTCCACCGTTTTTTCATATTAAACTATGTTATTCTCTTATCTAAGACGAGTTGATACATACCTCTCTCGTCTCAGTGCGTGCACTTAATCGCTCTGTCGGGCGGAGAACTTTGAGAGCAGTTAGCTTAGCCCCATTCATTGTATATGGGCCAAACAGAGATGAAGTTAGAAGCGACCAAACACATCCACGTTTTCTCTATTTAAATATAGTTACACGAGTAGTTACACGACCAAGTATGGTGACAACAAATAAAATGTGGCGCTTTTTATAAGCGGGTAAAATGGATAACTATAATGTATGGCGGAATAGCACTTATTGGGAGCACTTCGACTCGGCGCTGTAATATCTTCACTCGTGAAAAGTCCTCTCTCCCTCTCCCTGATACTTCGTCAACTCTGCACAAAAAAACTACTACTACTGCAGGCGTGCAGGTCACGTTGGTTCTATTGAACCATATAAAGTTTATAAAGTCCTCTCCCCTCTCCCTCTCCCTGTCATTTCCGTCAATAGAACCAACGTGACCTGCACGCCTGCAGTAGTAGTAGTTTTTTTGTGCAGAGTTGACGAAGTATCAGGGAGAGGGAGAGGGAGAGGGAGAGAGGACTTTTCACGAGTGAAGATATTACAGCGCCGAGTCGAAGTGCTCCCAAAAAAGTGCTATTCCGCCATACATTATAGTTATCCATTTTACCCGCTTATAAAAAGCGCCACATTTTATTTGTTGTCACCATACTTGGTCGTGTAACTACTCGTGTAACTATATTTAAATAGAGAAAACGTGGATGTGTTTGGTCGCTTCTAACTTCATCTCTGTTTGGCCCATATACAATGAATGGGGCTAAGCTAACTGCTCTCAAAGTTCTCTGCCCGACAGAGCGATTAAGTGCACGCACTGAGACGAGAGAGGTATGTATCAACTCGTCTTAGATAAGAGAATAACATAGTTTAATATGAAAAAACAGTGGAGTATCCCTTTAACACACTTTAAAAAAATGTGTCAAATTATTTATTTATTTTACTTTAAAGTACATTTGAAATCATTAAGTTGATAATCATTTGTCAAAAGAAGTACACTTATTTTGATGTGTTGACTTTAATCAAGCGCTTGATTCAAATTGTAATGGTAGGGTGTTATTTGAGGTAATATTTAGAGTTAATATATTTTAAATGTATTAAATTGCAACAAATTCGTAATTACAAATATATTTAAATACATGACATACAAGTTTAAATAAAATGACATTAAAGTATAGGCATATGCTTCAGTTTACCATAAATGCTTGTCGGCACATTTGACATCACTTAGAATTAATTATAAAATTATGTAAATTATGAAATTATGCTGAGTCCTACTTGGGTCAAAAAACACTTGTAACTAACATGCAATTAAGTGCTTGAAAACATTACATTCAGTTTGCACTTAAAGGTGCTGTATGTAATATTGAGAGCTAGCGGTTGAAATTCAAAATATTGGAGAGAGTTGTTTCCCCGCCCCCTCCTGCTCAAACTCGACGCTCATGCGGGTTTCCTGACCGAGGAAAAGCAATAGGAATGAGCGCAATTAACAATGGAAGGTAACGAGCCATACACTGTAAGTTGTTGAGCTGATTAATTCGTATTTTAATATGCCATAGAGCTTTTTAGATGATGCTGAGGCTTTTTAGGTCGCATAGAATCTGCAATCTCTGACCTAGTTTGTTTGCTGGCTACCATGGCTGCAATTCATACTTTGCACGTGACGTCATAAGTACTGGCTGGCGGGCAAGAACGTCGTTCTCTAGCAACGAAACCCATTAAACTAATCAAGGATCTTGCCAGGACGTCGCCAGTTTTAATATACAAAAGTTGGTGTTTTGAGGTGTAAACGACATGCCAGATAGTTGTGCGATTGGATGCACTATGTCAATAGTGTAATCTTAACATAAACGCGGTTACACGTTCGCCAGTAGGTGGCGAGAACGCGTTCATCTGTACGTGATTTTGATTTGATATGATGAGAAGATGAAGACATGGAGAATGAATGACACGTTACTGTTGTGCTGCGTCAACTTATTACTTACTTACAGTTACTCCAAGTTTGGTTGAGACTTTGCCAGCTTCAAAGCAATGAATACATCAGCGGGTGCTGTGTATGGATCATGGTTAATCTTTTCTTGATATCTAAGTTTAACATTCGGGTAACATAATGGTCTAAATAGTTAATTGATTGTAGTATTAGAAATTTGCAAGGCTGCAATTCCCCTGGCTGGCCACTGTTTGTCGCCATATTGTCAGCGTTTGTTGCCCGCCAGGTATCCATGGTAGTCACGTGACTGCAAAGTATGAATACTCTGTGTTTTCCACCAACTAGCAACCCGGGGTGTCGAAATACTATTGGGTAAATTGGCTATTTTTGTGCTTTAGTACAGTAAAAAACTGTACATACAGCACCTTTAATAAGTATATTCGTTTAGAGTATGTTATTTCATATTAAGTAAAAAAATATATTATTATTGTAATATATATATATATATATATATAATATAATATTTGTTTTGTTTTTTCAGGGCTTAACTACATTGTCATGGGTCAGACAGATGAACAGGGACAGGGTATTGTTTCCCCTTATAACTTTGTGATGGCCTTCAAAACCAAGAAGCAACGGGATCTGGGAGTGCTGAAGAATATTCGCTGTTAATGTGCTGGAGTCTGGATTTCTATGACCTATATTATTCACTTGATGTAAGTGCATTTAATAACATTCATACTTGAAGGACTCTTCCAGTATTTAAGACTGCTTTTTCCACATTTTCCCCGACAATAGAACATTTGCAAAAACTTTAAAAATAGTTTGTTTCAATCTTTTTTTTTTTTTTTAAGGAACTTGGCTTAAATATCTTTGACAACATAAATCAATGAGGCCCTCAAAATCATTTTAAAAATAACTTCTAAAATAGTTATAGTAAAAAGCACTTTCCTTCAAGAGTTGGACTGGAGATCTGAACTGTTGCAGAGCACGGTGGAAAAATGAAGGCACTCACTACAACAAACTGTCATTTGCAGTAGCTTAGCTGGGGGGTGCTGACATTTACGAGAGCGGCGGACATGTTGGCCTTTGAATCTGACATTTATCTAATCTATCTAGTGTTGTAATGAGTGAACGAAGATTGAAGATGACAAAATGAAATGTTGTCAAAATGAAGTGCACTGTAAATTGCTTTTATGTCAGCCGAGGTTACTACAGAAAGTTCCTATGTCACTTCTGCGATGCAGTATTTTATTTAAAATACTGTATGCTCTTGTGCAGCTCAGAAACGTATTATAACTTGATTTTTCAAACAATGGGAAAATGAAATGAAAATTGAGTGGAAATGAAAAGCTAAAGTTTGCTTAGTGTATATGAGGGAGTCAGTTTAATTTGGATTATTTGTCAGCTTTTAAATTAGTTACTTCTGGCCCCAGTTCACCCCATGTTTACCTAATGAGTGATATTAACTGCAATTTAGGAAAACTACTATATTTTGTAAATGTAATATATACAGTATAATATTTTATTATTATGTCATGGGACATGAAAATGTGCTGCATAGAATAAATTATGTTTATCAGAATACTGAGCTTTGAGATTTGCTTCGCAAAGACTGCAGATCATTTTTTGACTTTGCTTGTGAAAAAGAAGTGCACTTTAACACAATTCTAGATAAAGTACTTATTATGGAGATAAAATACTTTAAAAGAATATATACTTAAGTGCGAACTGAATATAATGTTTGCGGACACTTAATTGCATGTTACTTGTATTATAGTTTAAATTTGAATTTAAGACCACTTAAGTAGGACTTAAGTACATCTTGATATATAATTACATAATTACTTCTTATTGTCTTTGAAATATGGTTACTGTGTGTACTACTGACAACACATTTATGGTAAACTAAAATATACTTTAATGCCATTTTATTGAAACATATACAGTATGTCATATATTTAATTATATGTGTAATTACATGTTTGTGGTGAAGTTGCAATTTAGTACATTTAAACTATATAATAACTTTCAATAAAATATCAAATATAAAACACACTAGTTAAATTATAATTAAGTATGTAACATGTGCTTTTTGTATGTTAGTCAACACATGAAAATAAGCGTAAAATGCACTTTAAAGTAAAACCTTTAATTTGACATTATTACAAAGTGCACTTGTACTTAAAGGGATAGTTCACCCGAAAATTAAAAAATGTGTCATTATTTACTCACCCTCAAGTTGTTCCAAACCTGTATGAGTTTCTTTCTTCTGTTGAACACAAAAAAAGATGTTTTGATCATCATTCTTCAAAGTATCTTCTTTTGTGTTCAACAGAAGAAAGAAACTCATACAGGTTTGGAACAACATGAGGGTGAGTAAATGATGACAGAATTTAAATTTTTGCGTGAACTATCCCTTTAAGTGTGTTAAGAAACAGTCATGAAAGTGTACTCTCGTTATAGTCTTTTATTAGTGTTATATTATCTGCAAGTACAGTTTTTTTTATATACTTTTAAGATTTAAAGTACACTACAACTGCACATTCAATACAATTAAGCACACTTCGTTTTCACAAGGGTTTAGCATTTGAATTGGCATATTAATGCTGGAACTGGGCAGCAAACTTGTTAATATACTGAGATCTGCCAGTGTTTCTGTACAGTAACATAATGCAGTACAGTGAATGGGACACATTGTTAAAGTGAATCCACTGAGCCCCGAGGGGGCTTCGAATGTGAAACCGAGCGCAGCTCTACGTGATGGTGCGATTGTCAAAGGGGAACACTCCCAGCAACTCAAACACATCTGGAATTTCACAATGACACTGAGAGAAAGTCCCTCTAGAAGAGAGCTGGACACGTTAGATGATTGTAAATAGGAGGCAGTGTTTGCAAAGTGTTTGCAATTCTGGCCACTGTTAAATGATGTGGATGCTTGTTCAATCATTTTTACTGCCAATTGTAGCATTTTTCTCCTTTCGAATTCCTCTGAATTACAATGCGCTTTCCTGGATGAGCAAATATTTAGACTGACACCCTGAATGTATGATTATAAGCCAGAATAGCTGGCCAGCTGCATCTAAGCCTGATTAAATAACAAAATGAATGAATGTGCAGATCTACATGGCTCCAATATTTCTTGTGAGCACCTTTATTTACGTAATGCAAAAATATCCAGCTATTTACAATCTGAGAGAATCAAGAGCCGATGAAGAAATAAAGCATTCACAATTATTAAGAAAATAACATTCTCTTTGAATAATCTTGCATCTTAGCTAGAAATGAAATGATTAGTGACGTATTTCGGTGCAATTAACAGGAGGTGAATTCATGAGGAACTATTCATAAAAAAATAACAATCGCATTAAAGTGTTGGTGCGTAAGGCAGGGGGAAAACAAGTGCAATGTATGGGTTGTGCTTTCTGACAAGGTCAGCCATCGACTTTCTTCAAGCCCCTTCCCATGAGGCATGCAAACACCGTCATCACCATCTTGGGTTTGACCTCCACAAGGTCATCGGGCAGGGCGTACACCTTGACTCCGATTTTTCGCGCCACTGAGATTGCGTATCTGTGAGTGGGAAACAGAGATACAGAGACGGTTGTTGGTGGCGAGACAACAGGCAATTTGGCGTCAGATGCGTATCAGGGTAATTTATGAGGAGCCGCGGGGGGAACTTACTTTGCATTGTTCAGCTTGTCCTCTGGCGTCATTTCCCCGCTCTTCACCATCTCGTATTTAATGACTTTGGGCACGATGGTGTCGATCAGATCAATCACTGGCAGGCTAGTGCTGATTGATTTGTCCTGAAACAATACATCATACACAATTCAATTTCATTTAAACGTAGACATGTTTGCTATTATTTAAATCCCAATATGAATTCATTCACTTTATGGTACTGTAGGAAAGCAGTACTGGCAAAACATTGTGTCGAATGGGATTCACCTTGAAGCTGTTGATATACGAGTCTTTATGGCCTTGTTTCAAAGTGTTGTTCACCCAGTTGATAATAATTTGGTCATTGACTATTTCCCCTTCACCGAGGTCAGACAGAACCTTCAAAGTGTATCTGCAAGAGTTATTTGTAAGATGATTCACACGTTTCACATGTTTAACAAAAATAGACGTCAAAGCCATAACCATCCTCATATGACAAGTTCTTTTTTTTAAATATACAAAAGTTTGAGGTCATTTTTTAAAAGAAAATCCTAATTGTATTCAGTAAAAAGGCATTCATTTTGTTTTCCAAAAGTCACAGTAAAGACTATCAAGTAAATGCTGTTCTTTTGAACTTTCTATTCATCAAATAATCCCGAAAAGCAACATGTATCACTGTTTCCATGAAAATATTAAGCAGCACAGCTGTTTTCAACATTGATAATAATAAGAAATGTTTCTTGAGCAGCAAATCAGCATATTAGAATCATTTCTGAAGGATCATTGGCCAATTTTTTGCCATACGAGTCAAGTCAAACTATTTCAACCCAATCTCATGAGAACTATTTTACAAGTTTTCAATTTTCATATGAATACATACGATTTGATTTGTATGAAAAAAAAAAACTCTAGCATGAAGGTTCACCTCTAAACGTGTAAGCAGATGTGCATACGAAGACATGTGCATTCGATTTTCCACAAAATCGCCAACATGTAAAATAGTTAGAATTGCCATGACAGCATGTTGAAACTTTTATTGTATAGATAAAGTACCTTGTCATCAGTTGCCAGACCAGTGCCAGGGTGTGCATGGGGCTTCCCTCATTGATATTCTCACCACCGATTCCTACTAAGGAAAACTTTGCTTCCTTTTTGCCCAGTGCGACTGCATAATTACAATTCTCAAGCTACAAAACAAACATATGTCAGCCAAGTTAAAATGACATGTATAATTTAACCCCGACGACAGCAGTACGCATACATAAATGGAGTTTTTGATGAATAAAGTGCATTTTGAATTCTAAACTGAGCTCGCCAGTACCCTGAGGCAGCTGTGGAAATCATTCAGCAGGGACAGAAATCCAACATGTAGCAGTACAGACATATTTAATTTGCTCTCAGAAACAAACGCACTAATGTGATGTGACTCAAAGCTGATCCAGTTCTTTTATTTCAGTTATTAGCTGCTTGTACTCTTAACCTATTGCAACTCAAAGCTGAACTTCTGAAAGCACAAACCTTCTTCATGTTGGAGCCCAGTATTGGATAGGGAGGTTTATTGACTTTAGTCCAGTCAACAGGGACCTGGATTCTCTCGTATAACTGAAGAATGACTTGACCATCATGCAGATCACTGGAGAAGAGGATGTTCATGGTTAACTTCAGTCTTTTGGTTATAATGTTTTATGTAGTACAGTGAATCAATGTAAATTGTGTTTAAATGTACAGACCACCTCTGATTTGTCAGCAAATTTCTCCAAAGCACAACAAAAAGCAAAAAGCAACATGTCAGAGCTGTGGCCTTGTGGTTGGACATGTGCTATCCATCCGTCCGTCCGTCCATCCATCCATCTATCTATCTCTATAATAATCTATAATAATAACTCCTATTTTATCTATTACTACTAAATAACACCTATTTTTAAGCTGGTGTACTAATTTTGTTTATGGTTTTATCTAATTGCTTTATGTTTTAGTTATATTTCCATTTTTAAAAGTTCTACATTTTAAAAATAATGGTGTAATACATTCAAAAGTAAACATGCATACATTTTGTTTGTTTGTTTAATTTATTTAGCTATTTCTCCATCTCACAACCTCCTTGTAGTACAGTGGTTCCACCATGAACCCATAGATTCATAGCTTTTGATTTCAGAACCAACATTAGTCCTGATATTTCAACTGTCACCGTAGAAAACTACGGCATTACTGTAAGCTAAATAAATGGCTGTGTTACCTGTACAAGTGATTGACATGTGGAGAAACCCCCAGAGAATTCATCCAGTTTCTGAATGTCCTGTCCTCTCGTGTTTCTCCTGTCGAAAGAGAGAGCGATCATTTATTAGTCAGTCACACCATGTCTTATGCCTTATTTTGAGGATCATTATGTACTTTAGATGCAGTTAATTTTTGAAAACAAATTTTAAAACTGTTTTAATTGGATGTTACTGTTTATATTGACCTCACATTATAAGCCCACCAAAGAACTGCCCCCCCCTCTGAGAATTAAACTGCCTATTTTTGCTGCTGTCCATTTAGGACTTCTAAATATACACTATATGTAGGCTATTGTCTGTTTACCCATGTAATTTACACTGTTGTTTATCAGGATGGATCAATTTGCTGTGGTCACAACTACGTTCTGTTAGTTTCACTTTCATGGACTTAGTTTGTTTATCGACAGTTTCCTTTGTTCTAGTTTCCCGCCACCCGTTAGTTTCCATGGACACTCATTCAGTCATCACAGCTGTTCAATATTTTGTCTTATTACACGGCTCTCAAACAGGTGTGATTTTAAAACAGTTTCATCTCAAATCAATATCTCTTATCCCCATAATTATTTATGTGGTGAAATGCTGTGTAATAAGTGGTATGACTGTACCGTATCTTTATATGTCTGTAGTTTGAACTTGCCGCGCTAGCAACTGCTCTCTCCGCGGAAGCTTTGCGTTTGAAGACCTAATAAAATATTTAGACTCAGATCAATATTTTGTGTCTAATTATTTACTTATGTGGCAAGTAGCCATGTAATACATCATCACTGTGTATTTAAGTTCCTCCTTGTGCACTCTTCATTTGTATGGTATTGTTTGTGTCTTTACACTCTGTACGTTGCCTACCTCTCGCTATTGGATTACTCTTGTTTTTTTAATAAATACTTTGTTTTGTAACCTTTTTGAATCATCTTCATCTGGACTAAAACATGACAGAATACAGGACCCCAAAATGAGAAGAAGCTTGGAAATAGCTTCCATCAATGTTGCCTCTTTGAGTGGCAGATGCCTGGAGGAATATGTGGAGGAAATCGTCGGCATCAGAAGACATCCCGCACATGAAGGGGTTTTGGATCATACTCGACGACAAGATCCGGCTGTGGTGCCACGAGGAAACTCCTGCTAGACGCTGGCCAAGTACTACAACGTCACCCTACGGGTCAACAGATCTTCTTTCATTGTGGGCGATATGGAAGAGGATCCTGCTGCCAGCATCCAGCCCCACTCACCATCAGTCACCACCCCCAAGGCCCGACCCAGCGCCCATGTCCACTGCGGATAAGGAGCCAGAGCCCACCACAGACCAAGAGACCCAGCTGATTCTTGCCACGGATAACAAGCCTGAGCCAATGCCCGCCAAGGAGCCAGAGCCAGCAGCCACATCCGTCCCACAAGAGAAGCCAGAGGTCCCAGCTGACCAGGTGTGTGAGCCAGCTATTACATCTGTGTCAGTGGGGGTGTTAGCGGAACTGGAAACAGAAGGATGGCTGATAGACTGGGAAACGGATGCAGTGCTTCCCACCCTGCCCACCCACGAACCTTCTCTATCACTGGTCGTCTCCTGTAATAATCAGTGTTTATCATCGCCGCTGGTCCTACCCAGCCATGAGTCTACTGTGTCATCATTGACACTGGTTGTGTCCAGCCCTAGTTTGTCATCACCACCAGTCCATCACAGTATGATCTTCGTCGCTACCAGCCCTGTCCATCACTGAGTCTGCTTCCTCACCCAGTCTACCTCTTCTGCACGCTCCACTGAAGCCAGCCATTCCCTCGGCTCTGGCTCCGCCGGCTCCCTTTAGCCCCTCACCATCAGCCCTGATCTGCCTTGGGGCTTCCGGTCCCCATCTCTGCCCTGGCATGAGGTGTCCCGTAGGGGTGCGCCAAAATATCGATATGGCGATATATCACGATATTTACTCCCGCGATCGATTCTCGATGCACTCTTGCCAAGTATCGATCTTAAAAGCCGTTATAAAACGCTCTATTCATTATCCGAGTTGACTGGATTTGACTAGCTTTCATGAGGCACACACGCAAAGTCTCTCGCTCTCTCCCCTGCTATGTATGTTATGCGTGCAGGCTGTTCTGTCTCGCATGCGCGCTCTAGATTCCGGGAGATTTGAACTAATTTGCGGGCATCAGGGAGACGCTATCATTATGCGGGAGACTCCCTGAACTTCCGTGAGACTTGGGATGTCTGGCTTTGCAAAAGTCCGCAAAACGGGAAACACGACCACATGTACAGACACCTCACGCGGCATCACCCGGAGCTCTGTGAGAAAGCCGTGGTTGGTGCTGGCTCGAAGCCGACACACCCCGGCGTAAACATTTTTATTACTACTGATTGCAGCAATGTTACACTAAAATAGTGTCTGTGACTGTTTTGTTGCAACTGATAAGACACAAGTTGTTTTTGTTATTGTGTTTCATCCCAAAAAATAAATGGAGATTAATTTTCCTAATTTAAAAGAAAATTGTATTTCTTAAAACATGATATAGCTATTGTGAGTTATTACTGATAATATCGATTATCGCAGTATCGCCATATCGTGATATTATCGGTATCGTGAACAATGTATCGCATATCGTATCGTATCGTGAAGTACCCAGCGATTCCCAGCCCTAGTGTCCCGGGCACCGCCTCGTCCCTCAGAGCCCTCAGTTCCACCTCAGTCCGTTGACCAATCGGCTCCGTCATGGCTCCTTGCCCCCTCAGCTCCACCTGGGACCATTGTCCTTTCGGCTCCATCAGGCTACCTCGTCCCACCAGCTCCGCCCTGGTCAGTTGTCGCCCCACCATCTCCACGGACTTCCGGGCTGTCCGCTGCGCTCCACCCCTACGGCTATGTCAGGCTCCTCCACCCCTCAGGCTCCACCGGGGTCACCTCCACCCCTCACTCACACCAGCATCACCTTGGTCCTTTGGCCCCTTGGTTCCAACATGGCCATTTGTCGCCAGGACTCCGCCTTGGTCTCCCTGCCTGTCCTTCAGTGTCACCTGGTCTCTCGGTGCCACAGACTCCACCTGGGCCTCTTCATCTCCAGGCATCAGTGCTGTTGGTCAGGCTCAAAGAACCCCCTGGGCTCCTCCCTCCATCATTGCCGCCATGGCTCACCTCCAAAATGGTCTTCTCCTGGGTCGCTCTGGGATCTCGTCGGCCGTCCGGTCCTCCCTGGATCCTACCACCATCCACCTCTCCTTGGGCCCTTCCACCATCATGTCCTCCATGGCTACTACCTCCATCGCCACCCTTGTCTCTCCTGCCAGCATGTCTGCCTTCATCCAGCCCTTCACCCACTTCTCGTCTGCCTCCTAACCCCCCCGCTTCATATATTACGGTGCGAGGTTGCGCCTTCCCACAGGGGGTGTTATGTCACAATTATGTTCTGTTAGTTTCACTTTCATGGACTTTTAGTTTGTTTATTGTCAGTTTCCTGTTTCCTTTGTTCTAGGTTCCTGCCACTCGTTAGTTTCCATTGACATTCATTCAAACATCACAGCTGTTTGTTATTTTGTCATAATCACTGTGTATTTAAGTTCCTCCCTGAATAGATATTCAGCTGAACTATACTAGTGTTCAGAAGTTTGGGGTCGGTGAGATTGTTTTTTTTTATATATTTCAAAGAAGACTCTTATTTTAAATTCATTTGTCCGGTATTGTTTGTGTCTTTACACACTGTACGTTGCCTAGCTCTCACTACTGGATTAATTGTGTTAGTTTTATTAATAAATACTTTTTTACTTTTGAATCATCTTCATCTGGACGAAAACGTGACAGCTGTATAGTGAATAGTTTGATAGATTGACATTGATGTATAAATGTGGGTGGTCATGTTAATTATTGTGGTGTCATAGCCATTACAATTTCCTTAGCAGTTTTCCTTAAGTTTTCATAAATTACCTAAGTGGACTAAGGAGGAATCTTTGTGTTGTGAATGTTACTGTATGCCTATTTGTACAGCGGAAATCCTGTCTTCCACTATATGCTCCTGTTAAATGTGTTTTTAATAAAGTCCTTTAAATACGAATTACTAAAGTGCGCAAGAATGATTACATGATGATAGTCTGTTTCACAATCCTGAGCTAGATATTCTCTTAGTTTGCTCAATAGACCTTTATCCTTATTAACAATAAAATCAGGCTGCAAACTAAATTAATAGTGTTGTGAATGCAGAAAAGAGCATGATGGTAAAATAACCATCTATCTCCCTCTGCAACGTAAATGGGAAAAAGGCAGTTAAGAGGGTTCTGGCAAATGTACGTATCTATTTGGCTGATGACATGCTGTATTTAAGGAGACAGAATGGAGAAGAGAATAGAACAATCAGATGAAGAGGACAAAAGACAGATAAACAGACAGTGAGATAAAACCTAATCACCCCCAATTACTGTCACATGTTGATCCTCTAACACACACACACACACACACATGCATTATGTGTGAAGTAAGCCACAGAGCGCCACCTGGTGCTCGCTGAAAACACTGCAGATGCATGAACTGACACACAAAAGCACTAATTTGTCAGAGGTGTTGGTAAGAAGAACAGTACTGTATGTCTTTCATGTATATTTCCTGCAACCTATAACAGTGACTTGAAACTTTATCTATTACCTAAAGTGACTTCTTTACATAGATGCTGTTTCCTATTTGATATCAGGCTCTTTATTATTTTTATAATAAGTGTTATTATTATTATTAGCCTCTATATTATTAGCATTATTATTATCATCAGCAGCAGCATTTTCTTACACACTCAGAAATATCCTAAGAAACAACCCACTACTAAATAAACATATATAATACATTCATACATACATACATATTAATCTTTATTTATGTTAGTTAATAAAAATAGAATTGTTCATTGTTAGTTCATGTTAGCTCAGGTCCATTAAATCATTTAAAATATTAGCAAATGTTCAAATTAAAGGGATAGTTCACCCCAAAATTTAAATTGTCTCATAATTTACTCTCCCTCAAGTCATCCTAGGTGTATATGACTTTCTTCTTTCAGCCAAACACAATCGGAGTTATATTAAAACATGTCCTTGCTCTTCCAAGCTTTATAATGGGAGTGAATGGTACCTTAGATTTTGAAGCCCCCCAAAAAAGTTCATCCATCACAAACATAATCCATACAGGGTGTTAAAGGTGCAATGTGTAAAATTTTTGAGTATCTATTAACAGAAATGCAATATGACATCCATAACTATGTTTTCAGTGGTGTATAAAGAACTTACTTAATAAACCGTAATGTTTTTATTACCTTAGAATGAGACATTTATATCTACATAACCGCGGGCACCCCCTTCTATGAAGGTCGACATATTGTGACGTCATGTTTCTACCGTAGCCGAACGCAAACACACAGCGCTACAGAGCGCGTTTCGTCACTACCTTAAAAGAGAAGCCGCAGGAAGCTAGAAGAAGCTAGTCATAAACACCGTGAGTAGTGACTTTTCCCTTGTCAGTGGTGTAAATATGTAGTTGGATTGTTTCATGTCACTTAGTTCTTCTCCCTCGCTGTGTTATGGCTTTGCTATGTGGGGATAAATGTGCTGGTTACGTTCGTGAGACAGCTGATTAGTACTCTTGTCATTGACCGTAAAACAGTATGTTACAGGAATCACCAACCCGTCGATCGCGGTCGACAAGTCGATCTTGGAAGCATTTTAAGTCGATCGCGAAGAGTTTTCAAAATCAGAGAAAAAAAAGCCTATTGTGTGTAGTAAATGGTGTCTAGGGGATGCGGAGGCGCGCGCGCTGTTACAATCATGTCATTTTTGCCACGCGCACCTTTGGGCTCATGCGGACGCGTCGAGTATAAACAAGGCTTAACGCTTTAACCAGCTCAGCCACAGTAACAGCTCATATTACAGCTAAACTTTTACTACCCTGTTAGAAAACATATATAGTTGCATAGTTTCATGTGGTTCTTCTCCCTCGCTGTATTATGGGTTTGCTATGTGGGGAGAAATGTGCTGGTTACGTTTGTGAGACAGTCAGCTGATTACTATTATTATATTATATATTAAAACCCTTGATCCTCACCTGACTATGGCTTTGTAAACGTTATCCATGATGTGGTTTAATCATGGACTGTGGTACAGAAACAGTGACAATGTCACACACTCTTGGCTTACTCTGGCTATTCTCTGCTGTCTCAGACGACGATGTTTGTCCCGTTTTAGCCACCGTAGCTTCTTCGGAAGGGAGGGGTGTGCAGTGGGCTGAGCCCTTAGTGCAACTCGCAACCGAACCGCTAGATGTCGCTAAAAGTCACACACTGCACCTTTAATGAAGGCCTTCTGAAGCAAAGTGATGCGGTTATGTCAAGAAAAATATGTATAACTTTATAAACTATAATCACTGGCTTCTGGTAACGGCCTTATGCGAGTCTAGTTCAGGCGGAACAAAATAATACAAAATATAATAATTTAAAAATACGATCGTCTTCTATCAAACAATCATAGGTTGTGTGTAAGTCATTAAGAATGTATTGTGAATACTTTCATGGATCTTGCTTTTTGAGTATGTTTCTTGTTTTAATGATGGGAAATGTCTGGTTGGCTAAACAGTATGTGAGCTCAGATGTGAAGCAAAGATAATGCAGCATAATTTATCACAGGCAGTCAAAAACCTCTCAGGTTCTCTAAAGGGTCCCAGACTGCATAAATAACACCTTTTCAGCACACGTTTGGCACATTCACATAAAATAATGCAACTCACCCTCAATTTCATAATCAATGCCATTAGTGGTGGGTCTGTTCAAGGCCGGGTACATGTTGAAAAGATTGGCCACAAAGGCCATGTTGAGCTTATGGTTTGCTGCCACCACATCCCGTGGAGTGACAAACTGTCTGCAATCCAGGCGATCCGCCTGCTTCAGCATCAGCTCCGCTCGCACTTCATCATCGCGCTCCTTAAAGACAGAGTTATTGAGTCTGAGTAACTATGCTTAAATCTGAAAGCAGATGATTATCTGCCGCAACAAGATTAATGGCTGTTCTGTACAGTGCCACAATAATAGGACAATATGTGGACGTAACTGTACAAACGCTACATTTTACACCCCAGGTTAGAATAAGTTATTTTATTTGGCTTGAAAAATAGACTGCGTTTATTTTATTGTACTGGCTTTCTATACAGTATCAAAGGTTGGCACTTCCATTCAGTGTTCTTTTAGTATCATTGAAATATTTTATTATTTATCTGTTTTTATAAAAAAAAAACATTCAAACACATAGCGCTAATGTGGTTAATTGTCATGAAAATAATTCCATAATGCAAAAAATAGCATTCATACATTTATTTATTTAAGTGAAATGTGACCTTGTTGAAAGTTGTGTAAGTTCTTTGTTGTATTTTGGGGTTTCGTGTCTGTGGCACAAATGATTCATGATGAGTTGCATCAAAGTTTAATTACATAGGCTTAGGGTTTTGAAAAATAGTATTAATGCTCAAGTAATAGTGAATTTTGCAACACAAATAGTTAAAACCTAAAGACAAACGAACCTCCCCAATCCCAATCTACAAAACCAAACTTGCCAAACACTCGTATCCAACCTCCCTTCCTCAGGACTTTGTCTTGTTGTCTTTTGTTCTCATATTTCCCTTCACTTTGTTTAAACTCAAAAAGTCGCCCTCTTTCTTATCTGCACTAAATTGTGTCATAAAGTGTGGAACACAGGAAACTGACCTGACGCCGGAAACAAATCAGCATGTTGACTTTCTCAGTAAAAAGGCAAAGGCTGTTGACTAAACATTCAGACCGACTTACCTTCAGGCCAGACATGTCAATGTCAATCCTCATCTCATCATCCCCGTCTCCTTTAGGCGAGATCTGATCAAGCAGGTGGAAGTAAGCCCTGGAGTCCTGAGAGCATTATATAAGTCAATATCAACTGACATGCAAATGACAGCTCAAAGGATTTGATGTGAAACCAGATCAAAGGCTTTTATAGGGTTTTATATAGTTCTTTCATTTCTAGGCCTGTGTTTGATTTACTCAGCATTTAACCAATGCGGTATTTCAAAATGGCCATATATATATAAATATATATATATACTCACAAAATGTTTTGCGTTCCACCAAGAAACTTTACATTTACGTTTACATTTTGCAAGTGAACATGGGCGTAGGTTTGGTCTCAGCTTTGGTGGGGACATCCACCCCCCCCACGCGAATTATTTTGTTGTAAGATTACAGTGCTTTAATGGCGATTTCCTTTGTCATTTCAGACTGCTGGCAATACAGTATATCACAATACAGCAGTGAATCTACTTCATCTCATTATATTGTATCCTGACCCCGATACACCATCCTGTATACTGTCAATAAAGAGCTAGTATAACTGTATAATCTCAAAAATGCACTCTCAAAAAATAAAAACCTTAGACTGTGTAATGCTGAACAACCAAACATTTTATTTAACATAAATTATTATGTACATTAGTTTCCGTGCTGCACACCCCTAATTAATGCTCCTAACCTTGAAAGATTGCAGAAGCAAGGTTTAACTGTAACAATATCCTGGGCAACCAGGATCACTAGTTAATACTATTTTCCACAGTAGAATCTGCATTTGAAAGCCTGGTCAGTCACTACTACTGCTAGTTATTTGTGTGGCTATAGTTATTTTGTACGGTGGCCGAGACAGCTCAACGCGCTGCAACTGAAGCAAACACATGCAAATAGAGAAAAACGCGTGCAAATAGAAAAAAACGCATGCAAATAGAAAAAAACACCTGCAAATTAAAAAAACATCTTCATCAGTTTCACAACACACGTGTGCTCCAAATAAGGAAATGCGCTGCAAAAGTTCACAACACAACCAAATACAGAAAACGCGCTGCAAATAACACAGACCACAACGGAAATGTTTCCAGGGGAACCAAATAAGTGACGAACCCGGCTGAGACGTGCTTATTGCTCGTGAGCTTCCCTATGCCATACTCCCTTCGAAAGGGCAGATATTAGAGCCCTTTTGGAGTGAGCAAGGCTCTAGTGGGCTGTTAGGCAGCCGTGTGGAGCGCACTTGATGAAGGGAGCAACTAAAGACATCGTGGGATGTTCCCATGACAACGCAGCACGGTGTCCATCAGCTGGTCTTACGACAGTAATATGATGCTGTTAACATAACGGATGCAAATACATTTTTATTTTTATTTTACAAAAAAAGCTTTTAAAATATGCGTTATATATCTGTGTCTCAACTTAAAAATTTTGGACCCTACATTACCTAACATTTCTTACGAAACTTTTCTTTATGAAAATGTAATAACATGAAACAATTTGTACAGTGTAACTGATCTATAGATAAATATCTTTCCTTAATGTTTTTCTTCTTTATCTTTTTTCTTTATTTATTTTAGTTTCCAGCTCATTGTTCTTTTCTCATTTGTATTCTGATGACATTGAACATATTGTTAATACATTTTGTACATTGTATACAAGTTGTATGTCATAAAAAATGTAATCTCTGTATGTTTTGCACAAACAAATAAATAAATAAACAAATAAATAAAGTATAATTTTAAGCTGTAAGCACCAGCACGCATAGATTTATGGATATCAATGGATATGGATATATGCCAGCACGTCCCAGCCGGGTTCGTCACTTATTTGGTTCCTCTGGAAACATTTCCGTTGTGCTCTGTGTTATTTGCAGCGCGTTTATGTATTTGGTGGTGTTGTGAGTATTTGGAGCACACGTGTGTTGTGAAACTGATGAAGATGTTTTCTTAATTTGCAGGTGTTTTTTTTTATTTGCACGCCTTTTTTTCTATTTGCATGCGTTTTATTTTATTTGCATGTGTTTTTTTTTCTATTTGCACGCGTTGTTTTCTATTTGCATGTGTTTTCTTCTATTTGCATGTGTTTTCTTCAGTTGCAGCGCGTTGAGCTCTCTCGGCCACCGTAATTTTGCCTACTTACACTCTGCTTTATGAAAAAGCTTCGTATGTCCCCTTTCTTCTTCTTGGGTGACATAGCTGATCTACAAAGTACAAAAAGGGGCAAAAAAAACGGAATATTAAAATGTTTTACTCTGGCATTTGTATATGGGAGGCAGAGAGACAGCCCTGGTAACTTGTCGGAGTCGTCACGCGCGCACACGCACACACCACCCGCTCGCTGCCAGTGAGTGCAAGCACAGAAAGTAGTCCCGGCCCGCACGTGTAGCCTGTCAGATACCCCGCCGCCAATCAAATTACGGCGTATCTTGTACCTACTGTCGTCGTCCTGGCCGTTGGAATCGATCCAAATAGCAGCGCAAGTATCAAAATAGCAGTTCAAAGGAGCTTGCTAAATATTGGTGGGGACAAATTTGTCATCTCAAAATATTGATTGGGACTAGTACCTAGCGTCCCCCCCTAAACCTACGCCCTTGCAAGTGAATGCAAAGTTTATCAGGGGAATGTGGAAGCTCATAATTTTTTAAAATAAAATAAATACATAAAATTAATTAATTAAAATCTTAATGACCCCAAACTTTTAAATGGTAGTGTATTTGAAATATATTTTGGCCAAAAGAAAAAAAAGAAAAGGGTAAACTTGGGTGAAATATGGTAAACTTCAGTTCAAAGCCCAGTTCTAATGGAGTGATGTGAATTATCAGTAATGACTGAATGACTGATGATGACTTATGTGATGAAGCATAAAATACCTTGATATCTTCACTGAAGTTTCTGATTTGTTGCCAGCCAGCAGCTTTCAGGTGATAGTTGACCCATCGCAGCAAAAGGTCCTCGGGGGACATTGACATCAGGTGGTCCAGCTCTTCTGACTCATCAAGCAATGCAATTAGAGCTACACACAGATAAATACACAGACACACGTTATTGAAACCTCCCAAGAGGCGTAAATCAGTCACTCATGTACATGCATGCTTGTATTCATTCATGGCGGCAATTAGTAACCCCATTGGATGGCACCATGTTACCAAAAATCAATTTAGGCAGAGTAATGACCTTCATTGCGTGAGATCTCAATGTCAGCGAAGAGGCCGATTTTTATGATTTGCCAGAGGAGGCCAAGCACGAGGTGAGGGGTCCCTGCTTTCATGTCCTGAGCATCGATGTTGACCACCGTGCAGCCAATAGCCGAAGCAGAGTTAAGTGCCAACATCAAATTCTCCTGTATTAGTAAAGAGGTAGATAGAACTTTATTTATTGTTAAAATATATGTCTCTAATCCACACATCTTTTATTTTAATAAATATTCTAAAGGCCTATCACACCAATGACGATAGCCATGACTATAAAAATTATTTTAATAATAATTCTAATTCTATCAGAATGGGGAAGTCCACACCACCACAACTATGACAATAACGGCACAAAGGGGCGATATCGTTGGAATCCCTAAACATTGATAGCAAATCATAATCCACCAAATTAAAGAAAATGATTTTTTTTAGTTGAAAACGATGTTGTTTAAATGGCTCCTAATTCTCATGATTAATTAGAATTAATAAGAATTAAAGTCACATTGTGGCATTAATTGTCAATGCAAAAAAAAAAATATATATATATATATATATATATATATATTGTCGATTTTCTTCTTGATTTTAGGGTCAAATGTAACCTGGACATTTTTTTTTTATTAGGACGGGGCTGAGAATCACCCATTATAGGAGAGGTTTTCAAAGATCTTTATTCTGATGTCACCTCTTTGTTGGATTTCAAAAGTGAGAGCACTTACAGTCATTGTAAACGGAGTGCTTTTCTTTGTGTTGATGACCCGCTCATCAATGGTGTCCGGTTGCGAGAGGTTGATCATTTTGCTGCAAAGAAACGGCCAAGAGGTTGTTAAACATGAACTCTTATTTCTATTGTATTTAAATGTGCTGAATAATTAAAGGCAATGTATTGACCAGCACAACAAACAAATAACATTACACAGTAAACCAGTTAATCTTATATTACCAAAGCAATATTCCATCTTTTACGGATTTGAATAAACTGTCAGTTTCCGGGTCCATTGGGATCAGATGTTTGCAGTCAGGATCCTTTGCCAAGGCCTTATTGACCCAGTTAACAAAGGCCACTTTTTCTTCATCTGAGAAACGTTTATAAAAACAAAACATTAGCAAAATTACATTTGGTCCACTTGCGTCAGGGATCATTTGACAAATCAATTGACAAATCTCATTTCAAACTGTTCAAATATGGTTTGACTCTTCTGAAGCAGTGCTCAAGCACAGCAGGGACTGCACAGAGGCTTTATGTGTTTCCAAGTGAAACAGGATATTCCATAAGAAAATATGAATAGAGTTAATTTATTCAACAGGAATTCACTGGATGGTGAAAAGGGTTAGGGACGCCATGGCATAATGGAGGTGGGCAGCTGAAGTCATTTTTACAAGTCAAAGAAAGTTATTAAATCTTGATAAATGAAGACAAACCCTTTTTTATTCTTTTGGAAAAAAAACTGAAATGTTCATTAACTGTTTCCCCGCCATTGACAAGATTTTTCATAATTTTAGAACCACGCTTCCCCACCACTGATGAGTTTTTTCCTGCAATCCCTGTTTTTACTGTTATAAGGTAGGGGGCACATCCTCTGAAATATCACAGCATCTCCAGATCCAAAAACAAGGGAAGAAGATCTGCATAAACCAGAAGGAGTTGATAGAAGCATTGCTTGTGCACAAGTAATCTAACGTGATCATCAAACATTTAACAGCATATAAATCAAAATGTCTAGGTTACTAATGTAACGCCCAGGAGGACGCAACACTCCAAGTGGAATGAGTCCTCACCCTAAGGGGGCACGACTGGTCTTGGGCCTGATATGCCAAGACTATGGTGTCCACTATCCAGTGGGCCAACCTCTGCTGGAGACAGCCTTTCCCTCTTGCTGGCCTCCATAACAGACAAAAGACCTGTTCTGAGGTCCTGAAGCTCTGCGTTCGGTCCATGTATAGGCGCAAAGCGCGAAAGGGACAGAGCAGAGCAAGGGCTGGGTCTGCCTCCTCCAGGGGCAGTGCTTGCAGGTTCACCACCTGATCCCTAAAAGAAGTGGTAGGAAGCTTGGTCAAGTATCCAGGCCGGGGTCTCAGGATTACGTGAGAGTTGGCTGGTCCAAATTCCAGGCATGATCCATCAGCCAAAAAAATGCCTGCAGGTCCTCCAGGGTGGATATCTTAACAGAAGCCAGTGCAGTCAGGAGCGCCGTCTTAAGAGACAGGATTTTAAGCCCTACTGACTGCAGTGTTTCAAGGGGTGCCCCCTTTAAGGCTGCAAAGACCCCAAGAGGGTAGAAAGTGAGGGCGGTGAGGATTTAATCTTCTTGCGCCCCTCAGGAACCTGATGATCAGGTCGTGCTTTCCTACGGACTTACCATCTACTGCATCATGATGTTCAGTGATAGCGGCAACATACTCTTTTAGGGTGGAGAGAGACAGCCCTCGCTCCAGCCCTTCTTGCAGGAAGGAAAGCACAGCTCTGATTGGGCATTTCCAGGGAGCTACTCATTGTAGAAGAGCACCAATCAACAAACAGGCTCCACTTCAGAGCGGAAGCGTGCCTTGTAGAGGGCGTACTCGCTGAAGTGAGCGGTTCTACCACAGCCGGGGGTAGACTACGTAAGTCCTCCAGAGGTCTGGACGCGGGTGCAATAGGGTGCCCCGTCTCTGAGAAAGCAAGTCCTTCCTAAGAGGGAGGGGCTGTCACAAGGAGCATTGGTTTTGTGAACCAGGACCGGTTGGGCCAGTACGGCACAACTAGCAAGACCTGCTCCTCTTCCTCCCTGACTTTGCACAGTGTCTGTGCGAGAAGGCTCACTGTGGGAAACGCATACTTGCGTAGTCCCCTCGGTCAGGGACTTAAACAACTGGCAGTTGGACCGTCTGGGTGTGGATTCGCCATTCTCCTGGGAGCGTGGGCTATTCGTGAGAGCTCGTCAGCCGCACGATTGAGCTCACCCTGAATGTGAACGCAGCGAAGCTACCTCAGATGCTTCTGACTCCAGAGGAGGAGATGGCAGGTGCGTTGCAACATGAGATGGGAGCATAGACCACCCTGATGGTTGATGTACGCAAAGGCCGTCTGGACCAGCACATGCTTGCCCTGTAGCAGCAATTTGAAGTGGCGCAGAGCAAACCATACTGCTAGCATTAGAGGCAGTTGATGTGCCAGTGCAGTAGAGGTCCTGTCCAGGAGCCGGTGGTGGAGGCATCTGTTGAGACAACAACATGCCTGGACACGGCGTGAATATGATCAAAAATGTGATGGCTGGCAACATAGTTAGCATGAAAGAGTTAAGAATGAAACTAAGGTACATTTCAATTTCATTTTGACTGTCTATACCAGGGGTAGGCAAGTTCGGTCCTAGAGAGCCGCTGTCCTGCAGAATTTAGTTCCAACCCTAATCAAACACACCTGAACAAGCTAATCAATGTCTTCAGGATTACTAAGGCTATAGGCAGGAGAGGTTTTTTTCAGTGTTGGAGCCAAACTCTGCAGGACAGCGGCTCTCTAGGACTGAACTTGCCTACCCCTGGTCTATACTCTTAAAAATAAATGTTTTTTTTATTGTCATTGATGGTTCCATTAAGAGCCTTTAACGTCCACGGAACCTTTCTTGTGCACAAAAGGTTTTATAACGGTTCTTTCAGGAACTCAAACTGGTTCTATTATGGCATCACTGCATAAACAATTTTGAAATATGTCACCACCTGAGTAAGAATGTTGCGTTCCTTCACTTGAGATCTTTGATGTTCCTCCAAATGACCGAATCCCATCCCGCCTGGAGATGGACTTGCGGAAAGTTTCTCTCACTTCTTTACTTCTTAGCTCTTGGAATATCTGAAGAATTTAGTGAGATCTAAGCTTTCAAAGTGCACCAGTGACACGAGCAGCTGAGGTATACTTTGACCAATAAAAACTCATCAACACTTCAAGATAAGATGAAAACTCATAATCAGGCTTACCACAACAAACTCTTCAAAACTGATCTTCTCGTCTTTGTTGGTATCACCGGCAATGAACTTCTCCACAATCTCCCGTACCTTGTATCCGGGAAGGTGAAAGCTGGCCTCTCGAAATAGCTCTTGAAGTTCAAAATCACTTACATAGCCACTGTTATCAATATCTAGAATGAAAGACAGTTTTAATATTACATTTTATAGTAGTTGAATTCCTCACTGCAGAAAATCTTTGACACCTTATTTCGGTATTCCATTAAAAACCTATAAATTATGTGTGTAGAACCACGTGATACGATGATCAGCCATCAAAACACATGTACTTTTTGACAACTCACAAGCACAAAGTAGATGATTTAAGCTCATTTCACATGTTCCAATGGACAATTCACTAAAATACAGTGAGATTCAGACAGAGTTTTACTGACCGATTTTGTTGAAAGCCTCTCTCAGCTCCTCCAGATCTTCTCTGGAGATCTGTGTGACGTTGTTCTCCATGCTGGTCTCCACGCAGCAGTGCTCACCATGCAAAAGACCTGCCAAAAAGGTCCACACAGAGAGTTTGTGCGCTATACTCTGTTTGCCCATTGCTGTATCTCTATGATAAGCAAATCCATGATGGACACGACTGGTAGAAATACTTAACGAAATGCAGTTATAGATGGGTCGGCATACACTACCGTTCAAAAGGCTGAGGTTTTTTTTTGTTTTTTTTTTAATAAAATTCAATATGCTCGCTGCATTTACTTGAACAAGAACACACTGCAAAAATGATTGTAATTTTAACTGTAAAAAGACCGTAAAAACACTACAGTTGAAAAAAGTAGGTCACACTTTAGATTAGGGTCTAATTCTCATTATTAACTACGACTTTTGCCTCAATAAACTCCTAATTACTGCTTATTAATAGTTTGTTTATTGTTAAGTTTAGGTACTGGGTAACATTAAGGGATGTAGAATATGGTTCTGCAGAATAAGGAATTAATATGTGCTTTATAAGTACTGATAAGCAGCCAATATCCTAGTAATATGCATGCTAATAAGCAACTAGTTAATAGGGAGAACTGGACAAACTGACGAACTGAAGCCAAAGTGCGACCAAAACCTATTAATAGGTAAACAGTAAGTTCCCTTACTATGTATACAGGAAAAAAATATAATAGATCTAACCTTATATTAATATAATTTTGGAGTAAAATACAGTAAAACACCTTCAATGCATTTTTATTTATCTCAGCTTGTAAAGCTACTTGTAATGAACTTTGATTCATCATGTGTTCATCATTTTCTTTACCACCAGTTTAATTATGGTGGTTGTCAGTATGTTATAGGTTAAAAACAATCTTATAACTTACAATTTGTTAAAAATTGTGACATTTAGGCCTACAGGTTATTCTGTAAATATGTTTACAATTGAACTGTATTTTTACATAATTATTTTTTTACAGTGTACAGTAAGAAATTATTCAAATGTTATTACAATGTTATACAGTTTAAAATTACTGTTTGCTATTTTGATACATCTTAAAATATAATCTAGTCCTATGATGTTAAAGCTGAATTTTCAGTATCAAATGATCCTTCAGAAATTATTCAAATATTTGCTGCTCAAGAAACATCTCTTATTATCAATGTTGAAAACAACTGTGCTGCTTAATATGTTTATATGAATCTGAAAACATTATAAATATCTGTACTGTACTGATATTGATGCATCCTTGCTTAATAATAGTAGTAAGTTCATCAGCATCAAGATTTTAGCTTTCACCATTTGTCTTCACTGGTTCATTTTAAATGGCACCGAGGTGTGATAAATACATTTTTAAAAGTACAAATGTTCCATGTAGCCCTTTTAAATAATATGAGTCCATAAAAGCTGCAGGAAAAACAACTAAAAGAATTAGCAAAATGCTAGTTTAGCATCTCACACCGCAGGACATGTCAACATCCCAGCAGGATTTCATGACATACGAGTTACAAGAACAAACTCACTGAGTCATCAGTTTTCTATTATCAATCACAGAAATATCACTGAATAATTAGAAAACAAAAGCCACGGGACACATACAAACAAAATCAGCATGTTTTGATGAGATAAGACAGTAAAATCAAAGCTTGAATGCTGCCATTGAGAAAACGATACCTTTCTCCTAAAAAGTCCCACGACTCAGCGTGAGATTACCCTAGAAAAGATGCAGATATTCCAATCGGATCCACTGCGGTGACTTCTGTCCTCTCCCACTGCGTATGTGGAGCTCATGCAGATAATGGTGAGGTAAGAGACCTTTGGCCTGTAATGTCTATTACTTCGTAGCTGGAGTTAACGTTTAACGCCCAACTTAATGCTGTGTCAGCTGAGGCTGTCATTCGTTTATTGTACTATGTAACATGTGAGCATACTTTATACCCACATAACTTTGTGACCTAAAAAAACGGCTCCACATTTCACTGGTTTTATTATCAAAGCTTATAAAACAAGCTTGATTTTCTCACACAAACACAACCATAAACACACAATCTGGAAGGCCTCTTTGATAAAAGATATACATTATAAAATGAGCCATTTAATTGGTCTCATAACCAGAGCGACCAGATACAAGAGCAGAACGAAAGTACAGCGATGATACAGGAGACGCGCTCTACCAGAGTAATAAGACCTTATCGGCTGACCTAATGATGGGAAAGAGGGAATCTCCAGCCATAAAACAGAGGAATGTGCTGAAAAATAATATTACTCTTCTGTGCTGTTGAACTCACTGGAGGCGGAACAAGAAACCTCAGCTGACAGATGTTTGACAGCAGACCTTCATGTTTTAAGCATGACTCTAGAGCAGTAACTTCATTTCATGATAGAACCACTACAAATAATTAAAGGGTAGATGGAAAAAAATAAGAATAAAAAGTTTTTTTAGTGTGTGTGTGTGTGTTAAGGGTCATTAAGTGCTTGGAGAGGTGCATCTTAATTGCTGCTTAATTGCTTTAAGTTTATTTGCTGTTATAAATGTAAGTGAACTCAAAGTGATGCCAAATGTTATAGCCTAATCTGCAATCATAAATTCACTGGACTTTCAGACCACTTGAAAGCTAAAGAATTAAATTGGAAATGTGGGGTTCTGATTTATAATAAGTGTCTTTAACTATTGTGCACTAACATTTAAATGAATCATTGGTAACAGTTTGTTTATGGTCCTTGTTACATATAATACATAAAGTTACTATAACAATCACTATGAATTATGGACGATTACACGCAACTAACTCTAAACCAAACCATAATCCTAACCCTATAGTAAGTGCATGTTTATTACTTAAATGTATAATTACTCTGTTACATGGACACATTAAAATAAAGTGGGTTGCACTTTATTTTACAGTACATGTACTTACAGTCTTGCGTAAGAAAATACCAGGTAACATAAGGTAACTACAAGGGTTAAGGTTAGGTTCAGGTGTAGGTTAAGGGTATAAGTACAGTTATTACCCATTGTAATTACTCTAATAAGTATGTACATGGGGAACAGGACAGTAAAATAAAGTGCTACCATAAAGTGTAACCTAATCATTTGATGCAATGGACTTAGATACATGTTTTTATAGTTTACTTATATTAAAAAAAATACCTGTATGTAATTTAAGCTGCAATTACATCTATAAATACACTGTTCACTTTCTCTTGACCCCTAAACCTAACCAAACCACTTCTTACCCGTATCTTACCCATATTGTACCTCAACAGCAGCAAAAGTGTTTCGCAATACAACATGAAGACCTTAAGTACACTGTAAATACAATATTTTTTTTATGTAAGTACATAGTAGTTAAAGACACCTGATATAAAAGTGACCAAATGTTGTTATATCGTTAGAATGAAAACACTCTTTACAGTGTAATGTAACTGATTTTGAATGCAAACGAAGATGATGTAACAGAATGATGGATCATACGCATTAGCATTGAAAAAAAACGAATGCAAATTTAGAAAAAAACAACCACAAGAATCATTTCAGGAAATACAACTCTTAAAGGATTATCAATTTACCCCTTACAAAGATACTCACTTCCTGTTTTCAAGGGATCCAGGTAACATCTGCCATGCACTAAAAGATCTCTGAGCGGTCCATAATAAAGAAGGATGCTTTCCTTGGTTAAATATGGTCTTTAAAAAAGTACTTTAGATGAACAAACGGGTGGAAGAGCAGCCGTTTCGAGGCCCAAGAATGTTTCACTGACACCTAATACTGAGCTCACTCCTTTAAGAGACTCATCGGCCTCTGTTGCCACCTGCATTATTGATGGCTCTGAAAAGAGGATCAGTTACCACATCTCCAAGGCCCTTGCAGCGGGACATAGGTTAAGTATGCCACTCGAAATTCATTTTTATTTTTTATTTTTTTTAAACATTGAGTGTTCATCAGAGGGGTCAAAGACCCTAGGACTTTTTTTTTTGTCGCACTTGAACCGCGAATACACAAAACAAAAATTTAATGGATTCGAGGAGTTTTGTGTTTGAAATAAAAAAAAAACGTAACAAATTCTTGAATGCATACTGACGAAAAACTGACGTTAGGACCCAGCGGAACAGCTCATTTGCTCCAAATAGAGCTATAAGGCCATCTAGTGGTTAGAGTCATGCCATATGTTATATTATTTTTCCACAAGAGGTTGGAAAGACACCCAATGCAAAGACACCCAATGTAAGATATTTTGAGTCGAATTAAAAGGGTTATGCATGAAATTGTGAGTTATTTTGAATTTAAGCTGAAAGAATGTAAGGAATGTGCTTAAATGACTATATATTTATTATTTATTGATCAAATCTAGTAATTTAAAGGTAAAAAATAAATAAATAAATAAATAACAAATCTCCAAAAAAAAAAAAAAAAAAAAAACATGCACAAAAAATATTATCAAAATGAAATAAAATAAGGTTAATTTTAGGGCTTCGGGTCATTTTGACCCGCAAGGGAAAATATGTGTAACAAAATGCAAGGGAAGGATGAGGGTTAGTTAAGTTTCCCTAACACTTTATTTTACAGTGACCCTGTTAATGTTATAACAGTATATTATGCATAATTACATGCAACTGTTACGTTTTGAAGAGACAAGGCAGTGAGAGAATCCAAATGCACACATAGTTTTAATAACAAAATGGCAAAAAAAATAAAAAAATACAGACACTCCAAACCTGGAAACCTGGCAAATTAGTCCACACAAAGAAACAGGAACATAATCCAAAGACGAAAGGAACAAGACATCCAGGTACCCCGATTGAGACATAAATACAAACAACGACTCATACCCCACGAGTAAAAAACTAGACTAGAGCTTAAATAGGCAAACTAAAATCAGTAAACGACAAGGCCTGGTTGGATTGGTTTGGTTTAGTCAACACGAAACTGATCCTGTAACCTTGAGTTTGTTCAACTACCATCACGGTACGGGCCCCAGGTGATCGTGACAGCAACAAACCCCAAACCAAACCCTAACCCTATAGTAAGTAGCCTACATGCACAAAATTACACTGTAACAAGGACACCTTCAAATAAAATGCGACCCCATAGTTTAATTTCCCCATTTTATATTTGTGTTCAACAGAGTTATTAAGATGGGACAAACTGAGTGTTTTGCAAATGATTCTCGGACCCTAAAGATTTAAGTTTAAATCATATAACAACAAGTAGCTAATATAAATAAATAGTATATATAGATATTTATTCTTCTTCTTATTATTATTATTAAGGTTCTTTATTACTACTACCAGGTCTTCTACTACTACTACTACTAATAATAATAATAATTGAACATTTTGAACCGTACAGTTAAAGCATCCCATCATTTTGCGAAACAGTCTATTTCTTCCCGTCTTAATGAAATGTAGCAACTTATTGTTTAGCACAAACATAAAATGGAAGATTAAACTAGTTTAAACTTATGCTGCCACTAGCAAGGAAAAGTAATTAGGGCAATACATATGATGTGATGATGATGATGATGATGATGATGATGATGATGATAATCATCATATGCTAACCCGTGTATGTAAATATAGCAACAACAATAACAACAATAGTTATTATTATTATAGCTACACCTCTTGGGGGGCCAGTGGCAGTATTAACTACTTTAAACATGCCTAAAAGGTTTTTTTTTTTTTTTTTTTTGAGATTGGACAAAATGTGACTTTTTTGCTAAATGATGTGATGCAATAACAAAGGTAAGGTTCAAACTTAATAATAATAACTACTGTTGTTGTTTTTATTACTATATTTAGAGTGTAACATCATCACGTGGTTAATGACTTTAGAAGAAAAACAAAATGGCCTAGCATTTTATCTTTATTATTACTATTATTGTTGTTGTTGTTGTTGTTATTAGTAGTAGTATTGTTATTATTAGTTCCATGGCATGGTAGGCCTATGTGAGTTCCAGAAAATAAAGAAGTGTGTATTGCCCCGATCAACAACTGTAGCTGCACTCAAATCCATCAGCCTGTATGACAGACAATTCCCCTTGCCAGTTGCAGCATCATATCAGATTACTACAACTCTAATACCCTATAATACACGTATGGAAAGGATTTGAAAATGGACTTTAGCCGCACAGATTTCAGTATGCAGCAGTGAGGGGAAAATATCATTACATAATACATCAAGCAAAAAAAAAAAAAAAACATACTGTTCCATCAGTCATAATAAAGTTACTTAAAGCAAAACAATCTCACCTGTAATTGTGCTATTTGATCTCTTGGTCCACAAAAATATCCTGTGGAGTCCTCTTGTGATTAACGCCATGGGTTTCTTCTAATGCAAGTCTAGATAACCGAAAATATCAGACAACGAGCCACAGATCTGGAAATCGCATAAAGATCACACACTGATCATGGCGAATGGACAACTAGGCCTACTGATGACAGCGTCACGAGAGGTGTCTTAAGGAACAAGAGAGAAAGAAAGAGAGGCAAACAAGCACCCAGACCAGAGTTCAATCCTTCTGTGCACTAACACTCATTCCCAAACAACGCCACTTTTTTGGGTTGAAGCAATAACTTGCTTCGCAATATGGCAAGACTCCAGCCTAATGCGCTGCTGCAATGGCCCGTCTACTGTATTATCCTAATCTCCCTTCAGAAACACGCGTGATAGAGGTAATATCATCACTTTTTCTGCACTATAACCTTATTTTATTCATCGCAATTATCTTTTAATATGTTAATGTTTAAAGGTGAGAACGTAGAAGGCTAAAAGTGGAGAACAGAGAAACAAGAGAGAGAGAGAGAGAGAGAGAGAGAGAGAGAGAGAGAGAGAGAGAGAGAGAGAGAGAGAGAGAGAGAGAGAGAGAGAGAGAGAGAGAGAGAAACAAACAGCAGGTGGCGCTAACTGCAAAGAAGAGTTACAAGAACAGGCTCTAGTGTGTTTATCGTGAATTAACTATTCCTGTGTCATTGTTCTTGAGTTATGTAAGTAAAAGAACTTAAAAAATCTGTTTTCAGTGATTTTAATCCCAAAGAATCCTTGTTTTAATACTCAGTTTTCAACATTTACAAATCAATTGAACCCAAAACCAAGACCCTCTTCCAGCCCAGCCAAATCATAAATAAAGGCTGAATTTGATGATGCATAAAAACTTTCATTAAAAGCATTAGGTAGCATTATAACCTCTTTCTGGGATCAAGGAATAGACTTTTGTAAACAACTTCTCCTTGGTCTTTATAAATGACTGACATTCATGTAGTGATCAAATTTAGGACTCTTATGGAAATATGATCATTTTTTTGTAATTACTATTTAAATCTGACTCATTTCATAAATCAACATCTCAGGAAAACTTTATGGAGGACACCAGGACTTAAAGCATGTTTATCAGGCATTTTGGGAGACACAAGTGAATAGGGAAATAAATTATATATCAATATTCCAATGAAATATGATATATTAGCCTATAGGCCTAATGAAAATGTTGCCGATTATTACTCCCGTTATAATACTTTTTTTTTTTTTTCATTAGGCTACATGTTGCCCCGAGAACACATTAATTAGATACAGTGTTTTGCATGGCAATATCCATTTATGGCCATTTTACCCACATAGTGCATAAAGTAAAATGGTGTATCAATTCATTCCGTTATATCTTTCATAACATAGTTGAGAATCATCTTTATACAACGTTTGGTTAAAAAATCTTGAAACATAAAAATGTATTGCATAAAAAAAAGGAATTAAAACAACAAACATTGTTTTTGTCTATACGTTATGTCATGCCTTTTTCTTTTTTAAACAACTGATGTCCACTAGGGAGGACATACCATAATAACATAATAATAAAATATAATTGTTTTCAAAAAAGTTTTTCTCAAATTTGTGTCTTTATGCTTTAAACAATGTAATGACATGGGAAAAAAAAAATTAAAATAACGTTTTTTTCAGGGTCTCGGGAGGATATATTATTATACATCGAATATATTATATACAATATAATTGACAACAAATCCTAATAGGCATTTTAAATAATGAAAGATACAGAACACAGCATCCATACAGTTTAAGGTAACTTTTTAAAATCTTAAAATAAAGGGATACTTTATAAATAGATAGGCTACAATTAATTTTTCAGACATAATGTAGGCCTATAATATTATTGTCTGAACTCTCCAAATGTTATTCTTCGTGATACACAGCGCATCATGTTGCTATGTAGGCTTGTGACCATTGAGATTTGACGGATTTAGACAGGAACCAATAGCGTCGTTAGTAGACGCCTAGATGCTCCTGATTCCACCATTCAGCGCTTAAAGGAGGCGGGACTTGTGTTCCTCTTCTATCATTTAATTCGTGCAGCACCAATCGGTTATAGCGTACGCCCGGACAACAGAGCAAAGGCTGGGTACCACAATGACTGGAGATGGCTTTCTTTTGACTCCGTGTGTTTAAAAGGAACTTTCTATTTGCGGGATTTTCTTTCCCTTTGAGCGCAAATGCTCGCGCACGCATCTATATCGCCATTTTACCCCAGCCCGTGGCCCGGACGAGACATGTTATCGGGAGGAGACCCCGCCGCTTTTCATCGGTAAGCGAAACGAAATGAGCTCGAGTTCGCTTTGTGAGCCGTTAAATAACACGAACGGCATCCGTTGTATGATATCCGGATGAAACCCTGCGCATTGCGGTGCGGTTTGTTTTCGTTTCGCCTCGTATTTTGGAGCGTCGGGCATCCCCTCCTCTCCCACGCATCACCTAATCGATAATCGATTACATGGACTTGGGGCAAATGTCACGCTTTCTTCCATGCCATCATCGCTGCATGTGATAAACTGCAGCTCTATTTGAGACACCACTGGCTCTCCTGTGTCATAAATGAAAAACAAACCCTACCCTCTAAAATTCACACCACCATGGGAGAAGAATGCTGGCTTTGGAAGGAAACACAAGTCTTGCACGAGAAGTCACACCAAAATAATAGCCAACCCTGGAATTGTGATGAAAGTGCTACGGCGGAAGAAGATCATCATGTTCCTGGCGTATTTTCTGCTGGTGGCTCTGACCATGCTGAACCTGGCTAATTACAAATGGACCAAAGAGCCTCAGCAATGCAACCAGCCGGTGCAAGGAGTGAACTTCCAAAGCAGATCCGACATCCGTTACCTTTACAAAGCCCCGCAGGTCAAGAAACGCCAGCTGGTGTACGTGCTGACCACTTGGAGGTCCGGCTCGTCTTTTTTCGGAGAGCTCTTCAACCAAAACCCCGATGTGTTTTTCTTATATGAGCCTATGTGGCATATTTGGCAGAAGCTGTACCCGGGGGACGCGGTGTCCCTCCAGGGAGCAGCCCGGGACATGTTGAGCTCTCTTTACAGGTGCGATTTCTCCGTTTTTCAGTTGTACAACAGTCCCGGGGGGAAGAACATAACCTCTCTCGGACTGTTTGGGGCCGCCATCAATAAGGTCATCTGCTCCTACCCCTTCTGCTCGTCCTATAGAAAAGATGTGGTGGGAATGGTGGACGAAAAAGTGTGCAGAAAGTGCCCTCCGCAGAGCCTTCAGATGCTGGAGGAAGAGTGCCTGAAGTACAACACGATAGTGATAAAGGGAGTTCGCATTCTGGATGTTAACGTTCTGGCTCCTCTAATGGAGGACCCCTCTCTGAATCTGAAAGTCATCCACCTGGTTCGAGACCCCAGGGCGGTGGCGAACTCCAGGATTAAATCGAGACACGGACTCATCCGGGAGAATTTGCAAGTCGTGCGCAGCAGGGACCCCAAGCTTCGTCGTGTGCCATTCGTGGACCCCAACCACAAAATGAACAAAAAAGACGGCTCAGATTACCACTCCATCGGAGCCATGGAGGTGATCTGCGAACAGACGTCTAGGACTCTTAAAACGGCTCTTCACCCCCCCAACTGGTTCAAAGGCAAATACATGACGGTACGCTACGAGGACCTGGTGGAGAATCCCGTTAAAACGGTACGGAATGCATATCGCTTCGTTAACCTTTCAGCCAATCACGAAATCGAGGTCTTCGCCATGAACATGACGACGGGACCGAACGCCTCCACCAAGCCGTTCATCGTATCGTCCAGGAACGCGACGCAGGCGGTCAGCGCTTGGAGAACTGTGCTGAACTACCAGCAGATCAGACAGGTGGAGGAGTACTGCCAGCATGCCATGTCCCTGCTGGGATACCTGCGCGTTCGCACGGCCGGCGAGGCCAAGGATTTGAGCAGACCGCTATTGACAGTGCCCAAAATATGAACCACCGCCAAAGACGTTTCGATGTTTTGCATTTTGTGCATTCTTGTACAAACTGGCATTTATGTTCAATGCTTATTAATGGCTCAGTGGAATGTATCTGTTTGCATCATACTGTGCACAGCCACTTGCTGTCTGTTGGGACCAGAATATTGTCTGTTGCATCGCCACCTTGTTTGACCAAAATTAGAAAAAAGCATACTTTGTGAATGACGTGTCTTTGATCATTAAAGCTATACGCCAAGATATTTATTTAATCAAAAGATTGAAATTTTCGTTTTTGTTGTTGCATTCACTGCTTTCAGCACTGTACAAACTAAAGAGACTATCTGGAAAAAAAAGCAAAAATGTGTGGACGAATCATCTGAGATGCGCTCTAGTTCCTGTAGACTTTGTCTCTGGGTTAACACACTTAAAAGCATGTCATTCTGGTTATGCAGTACATTTTAATGTCTCATCATGTCTTCATTTTTATGGATGAAATATTAAACAATTTTTAATTGATTTTCGACTTCAATTACTTTCACTGTATAGACAAGTTTCTATCTATCTATCTATCTATCTATCTATCTATCTATCTATCTATCTATCTATCTATCTATCTATCTATCTATCTATCTATCTATCTGTCTGTCTGTCTGTCTGTCTGTCTGTCTGTCTGTCTGTCTGTCTGTCTGTCTGTCTGTCTATTGTTTAATTAAAAATTAAAATTCTGTCATGTACAACATAGATATTATTTTTTTCTTCAACATATATATATATATTGATTTTTTTCCCCTGTGCATATAATGTTGTTTTGGAACCCATTACTTTTACTGTACAGGCACAAATAACATATAATTTTTTTTCCAGCAATATCTTCTTTTGTTATCTATCTATCTATCTATCCATCCATCCATCCAGTTTTGTTTTGTAATATGAGTATGTAATGAAAATGATGTCATGTACTTACCCTCAACATACATATTATTTCTTTCTTCAACATAATATATATATATATATATATATATATATATAGATTTTTTTTTTTTTTTTTTGCATATAATGTTGTTTTGGAACCCATTACTTTTACTGTACAGGCACAAATAACTTATACATTTTTTTTTCAGCAATATCTTCTTTTGTTATCTATCTATCTATCTATCTATCTATCTATCTATCTATCTATCTATCTATCTATCTATCTATCTATCTATCTATCTATCTATCTATCTATCTATCTATCTATCTATCCATCCATCCATCCAGTTTTGTTTTGTAATATGACCTTAACTAACAAAAGCCAGTTCCTTAATGCCATCAGTATCACTATTAGCAATGTATTTGATCAATTCTGTGATGTTGTTCCATTCGGTTTGTTTCACTCGACATTCCATCTCGAGTGATAAAATTACAGAAATTAAAATATCAACACTTTCAAAGATCGCCCTTATGTAAGCTATAACAGTCTCTGAGCAATGGCTGACTTTCACTCTTCATTTCCATCCTGCTATGCAAGTTAAAAATTAAATATGAGGTGCTTGAGCTTGACCCGATAATATTTCTAAAAATCTTCTACACCCTTTAACAGAAATGCTTATAAGTAACAGAGCTTTAAAGGTACTGCATAACAGAAATGACCCAATCATTGTATTATGTGGTTCATAAGACAAGAGGGCCCGAGAGCAACTCACTCCCACCTCTTTCAGTTCCACTTTTAACGCCATGCAAGTTGTCTGTATTTCCCTTTTTTAATGCATTTGTTTTGTTAATCTACAAAGTTATTGGAGGAATAATACTCTTGGCTGTGCTCTGGAATGCGGCCAGTACAGCATTCTGACATGATTTTCCTTCCCGGCATATGAGTCTGTTTTAAACAAAGAGGAAATGAAGCTGTAATTAACGCTTTGAAGATTTTTGCGAATTTCTTGTGTGGTTTGGCAAGTATATAGATATGACAACATCTAAAAAAATGCAGCCTCCCCTGCAGAGAAAGAGCTGCTTCACTTTGAAAGTATACAAATACGTTTTAACACACTATCTTAATTTCTTTTATTTAAGGTACACCCAATATAGATTCACGGCTGTGTTTATTTTTAAATTTTAAATTTGGCATTTAAATCACTGGGCACATTGACACATTTAAATTGAAAACTCACTTTCTCATGAAGTTTTAACACTATGCTTAAGGATCCATTCACTTCCATTCAAAGGAGAGTGGGAATGCAAACATCTAGAAGTTTTCTTTCACTGTGGAAATTCAAATTTGTTTCAATACAACAAACTTCAAAGTGGCACAGTTGCAGAAAATGTAACAATATCTTTTGTTTGAATTTTTTAGAAGTATCATTATCTATTTATTATTGATTATGCCCTTATGATTGTCGCATAAGGTTTCATTAGTTACGTAACATGAATTAATAATGAACAATACTTCCTCTACCACATTTATTTATCTTCGTTAATGTTAATTTCAACATTTACTAATACATTATTAAACTCACATGAACAATCAATAAACAGCTGGATCTTTATTAACTAACATTAACAAAGATTAACCAATACAAATGTATTGCTCATGGTTAGTTCATGATAGTTAAAACATTAACTAATGTTAACAAATGAAACCTTACTGTGAAGTGTTAGCAATATTTTAAAATATTTTGAAATATGAACGTTTTGAACGTTTTATTCATCAAAGAATCCAGGGAAAAAAATCATGAATCATTTTCAACACTGAAAATAATAAATCATGAATCATTTTCAACATTGATAATAATAATACAGGTTTCTGAGCAGCAAATCAGCATATTAGAATGCTTTCTGGAGGATCATGTGACACTGAAGACTGGTAATGATGCTGAAAATTTTTTACAGGCTATATATAAACGTTATTTTAAATTATAATCATATTTCACTATATTGCTGTTTTTACTGTATTTTTGATCAAATAAATGCAGCCATGGAAAGCATAAGTCACTTCTTTTAAAAACATGAAAAAAACTGTAATCCCTGAAGATCCTTATCTTTTGAACAGTGTGTATGTGTGTGTGTGTATATATATATGTTAGTATAAACTAGGTTACCGTTACGCAGTGGCGTCTGTATCTGTACCAAAGCAAAAGCTATTTTAAGAGCCAAACGGCAGAAATATCAATGGCATCAGCTCTGTTATTACATCAGCTACAGTATGTACAGGCATTTAAATGGTGGCAAACTGTCAACTGTAGCAGACCACAAATCCCGGACAATCAGTCTGTCTCCCAGGAGTATCCAGTGACTATGAATGCTTGATTCTCTGAAGTGGTTGCCATCGCAGCCGTGTGTGAGAGCGAGTGAGAGAGCGGCCTCTGTTTTGCACAGCTGCGGGTGGGGAGGCCCCTGAGGGGTCGGGGCAGGGGGCCGTATGTGGACTGGGTGCTGAATGGCTGGGCTTGAAGAACTGTTGGCGCTCAGTTTGGGTCCCGGCAAGTGCCCGGGCCCGTCGGCATATCTGTGCTCTTATCCTGCTGCTGTTAACAGAACATGAGGTGATATAAAAAAAAAACAGAAAAAAAAAAAACAAAGTATGGCCACCTGATGACATTGTTTCACTTCCAGTAATACAGGATTGCCTTCGTCAAGCTTGAGTTTACTGTTAATGCACTGCTTTCTGAGAAATGTTTATCATAATTTGAAACAGCTTTCATGTCAGTAGTTGATAACCATATCAGTTAAATTCATGATTATACAACCTATGCTATTGGAAATGCTCCTTGATTTAAAAATCATTTGATTTAAAAGGTGATATTTTTCATAAAACCTAAATGTACTATTAACAAATTGTTTTCATCATAAGGTGGTAGTTAATCAAGTAAACAGTGAGTATCAATTAAACCATTCATGTTGTTCATTAGTATTACCACTTTCTAGTGTAATTACACTATAATAAGAAAATATGATATTACAAACACATGATCATTATTTTGTTAAAATTTGTCCCATTTGCCAAAGTTTGGGGTCGGTATTATAACAAAATCTATAAAAAAAAAAAAAAAAAACTTTCCACAGAAAATTAAGCATCACAGCTGGTTTCAAACATTGATAATAATCAGAAATGTTTCATGAGCAGCAAATCATCATATTAGATTGATTTCTGAAGGATCATGTGACACTGAAAACTGGAGTAATGATGCTGAAAATTCAGCTTTGCATCACAGGAATAAATTACATTTTAAAAATATGCAGCCTTCAAGAGACTTGTTTCAAAAACCTTACAATATTTTACTAACACCAAACATTTGTATGGTATTTTGCACCCAATGTAAATAGTAACTTATGCTAAGCAGAAACTAATATTTGCATTTTAAAGTTCACAATAGATAAGAGTGGTGGTTATATAATAAACCTTGTGTAAAATCTTTTGAGATTCACATTGAATTATCATATAATGTGTTTGTTTACTAGGAGGAGCCATAGCGATCACTAACCAAAACTTTATTTTAAAAAAATCTTATGTGCACACTAATTGTACCAAATATTTTAAATTCAATTTAAAGAATATAGACACCTAATACAATTTTTATTATAAAGAAAGTGAATGCAAACTTTTAAATGGAAATCTAGGCCAAATATTCAAAAATGGCAACAATGGTTTTGACAGGGCTGAGTTTGTCTCTACAAAATATAATGCTGAGAGAAGTAATAAAATCAAAAAAAATCAAAGAGACTGATGAAGTAAAAACAGCAGGCTGAAAAACAAATCACATGATCAAGTAATGGCACGTAAAGACAAAAAAAACAACAAAAAAAACGCAGGCATGTGATAACCATGAGGTTTGGGTGTGTGCTAATTCTTGCAATAGCACTGTGTTTGATTGACTGCTCTTATGAGCACAAACGCTGTGAACAGTCTCAATGTTAACCACTGCCGTACTCATTTCTAAGGGCACAGAGACAGTCCTCTACGCAGTTGTCATGGTTACTTGGTCAGTGATGCCCATCATGCAAATAGAGCAGATGGTGACCATGTAGACGAGGACAGCTGAGAAGATGGAGTGTATTTAGATGGCCTGGGGGAATG